TTAATCCGAGATTAGATAGTTCGTAAAACAACTGGATCACGTACTCTTCTCGTCTGCTTAAGCTCCAACAATTCGACTCGATCCAAGCGACGGCCTTTGATTTATTACTCAGTCTAGATATAACGAAATCGTCAGCAGGTAACATGTTTTCTGCATTTAGCCATTTCATCTCTTTCTGGGGTCCAACACCTTCCCCGAATCTATTCTTTACAATTATTTTCCTGAATGTAATGTCAGAATCTAATCTGTAAGTCCACGTCATATTGAAAAAGCTCAAGGGCCGTTGAGCCAGTGGATATATTGACGCTGGTTCCTGACTGACGAACACGTATTTTTGTTTGGAATGGCGATTTTGTGGAAGATCTTCAATGCGGGTGAACTCTGACGCACGGAATAATACGGCATCAAATTGTGTTATGTCGCTAAAATAGTGTTTGCTGCGTGTTATAAAGCAGTTGTCCCACAAACAACCGGTGAAGATTTTGTTTCCCGTTGGCATTAACACTAACGGCTTGTGGAACCTTGATGTCCACTGCAATACGTACTTTATAGTTGATAACTTATTATGCCCACGGCCGTGAACCGTTGAAACTATAATAAGTATTACAAAAAACTTATTCCGATTGCCGCCTTTGAACATTTTTACAAATTATTTCTGTACACTGTCTTGTAATTTTAATCTCACACTTGCGAATTTGATGAGGGCTGACCGGTTACTGATTCACTTTCGGATCGTGGGTCAAATTTCCAATAGAACGTGATGAATTGTAGTTCAAACAATAGAACTTGGAATCTCTACGACAATAGCCAGGTAATTGTGTATATAGGGTGTTACAGATACTTGTTTGGCTTTCCATAGCAAATCTTTAATTTCTTTGATTTATATGCATCATTTTTCGCGTCCGCTTGAGTTCTATTCCTTATGATACCCAGGTCGGTAATATTTGACACACTACATCACATGTTAATTAGTGGCTAGCGCAAGGACACTGTATTTTTTGGAACGACTCGCGTAAACGAGCCATTAAATTGGTATGGTGTATTATGCGATAGTGATAGCGTTTATTAGTTTATAATACAAAAGACTGCTTGTCCTTTCCTTATCCTTCTTTACGTTATTAGTTAATTACAACGTGTAAACGATGACATAGGTTTAGTTTTGAGAGGGGAATTTCTGCCGTTTGTCTGTACAGTGTTGCTGTGCGTTGCCCACCGACTACGCCAAAATAAATAAATATCAACCTGTTGCACGTGTATGTGTGTAGCGTAGAAGCAATGCCAGGCTCATGGGAGAACGCTACGGCTGTTAATGACGTAAACAACAGTTAATTTTATTTTTAACATAGTCATAAAACATATGATGCATCTTTAGTTTTTGTGTAGGAGATAAACCGGTTTAATTCAAATTTGGCCAGTGAACTAATGTTTGCGAACACTTAAAGGCCAGTGCAAACCGGCGGCCGGGAATGCAGAGGACATTATTTTACGCTGTTCCTATATTTATTCAATATTAATGTTCTGAGACGGACCTCGGAGTATCACAGCGCATTTCTCTCTGCGGTATTGAAGAACACGTTAAATGCATGCGCCAGGATCCACCGGGATGCGCCGGAATCCACCGGTGTGCGCCAGAATCTACCTGAATGCGCCGGGGAGTTTTCCATGAACGGAGTTAAATCCGTGCGACCGGTGGCATGTTGGCGGATACCGGTATCCGGTGTCCGGTGATATATTCAAGTTCATCAATGTGCCCAGTAGATACTGATATTCTCGCATAGAATATCTCGCGCTTTATATCGCTGTCGCGCAAGTCGCGCCCTCTTGTGCTGGTCCTGCTAGTGCTAGGGCATAAGATCCTTTTCAATGCTTTCCCGCGCAGTCCCCCGGTTTGCCCTGGCCCTTACGTTTAGTTTGTTTTCTGTATTTTTTGCTAACAATAGTATAATATCATAAAACGAAACTTTTGAGAACATCCCTTGTTTCTTACATATTACAGTAATAAGTGAATTAACATAACTTCAATATTAAAAAGTACATTGTGTGTATTGCTTTCAGAAATGTAAACACTCATTGTTTACGAACTTATCGTTGACTACACGTCATATCGTGCGCCTACACTGTTGGTCTGTGGCGCATAAAACAACACTGCCTAAAAGGGTTAAAATAACCTTGTCGTTTGAAGTGAAATCGAAATTTCCGTTCTTAGTCAAATGTACATACTCGACACTATACGAAATAATACGAAATAATAAATTTTCCAAAAAGTAAAGTTACGCCTATGACCGTAGTGACTATATTAACTCCTTAGATGGGCATACAGAAGCAGGTTCAAGTTCTGTCAGGTCGAAGGAATTTTTCTTTATGTTCGATATTTAACTGCCTCGGTGGCCGAACGGTTACCATGCCGGACTGCCACGCAGAGGTCCCAGGTTCGATTCCTGGGCCGGGAGAAATGTGTGTGCGTTATTTATTTATTTATTATTTATATTTGTATTAATAATTATCACAAAGTAGTGGAGTAATTTCGTGTAATAAGTCTATATCTGCAAAATGACAAATTTTCAGGAGAGGTTTTACAAAATCAAACGATTGTTCAAAATTAGTCGATAACTTTTATGAAATTTCATTTAATTAGAAATAGAAACTTATTATTGCAACGCCAAGAAAAAAACATTAAAAAAATATAAATATAAATTTAAAAAAAAACAAAAAACAGCATAATATACGATATACGAATATACGATATAATATCTGTGCCGTGAATATCAATGTCAGTGAATTATATTGTTCCATACGTGTCGTACGAAGCTAACCGTACTTGTCAAAGTCAGTAACGTCACTATTGTCCCAACGTGGTCCGACGACGAGTTTCTAGCTGTATTATTGTTAGATTCTAGACGTAATATTTTCATTGACGGCATGGACGTCACATGTAACTGCGATACTACAATTGTCTAAATTACCTAGCCATCACGACACAGGTAGGCGTCAGCACTGAGGAGTGGGAATAGCATCTCACAGTACTCATAGCATGGGACTTTTTTTAAATATCAAGTGACGAAACGAATAAGTCGTGCGCCTGGTATTATATATAAGCGACACGCTTGTCCGTAACAGTTGCAGTGCCATTCAGAGCTTTAAATCGCAATGATGAGGCACCGCCACTGTGCCCGTCACTGTGGGGCATAAATTGACAAGTCCCATGTGCCTGAAATTTCACCAGCACCCTTGCCCTTCAAAACCGGACCGCAGTAATACCTACATTACCGCTTGGCGGTAGAAATAGGTAAGGTGGTTACGTGTCGGGTTACGATATGTGCAGATAGGCCTTTATGTTTCTATAATACTAGATTTAATACTATGATAAGAACTTGATTTAGGTTCAGAAAAAAATGTTTCAAAAAGAACTAAAAGATGTTGCGCGTTTCGATAAACGTAATTCGTCTTTTTCGCCCTTATTACATGGACATGAAGGTTTTTCTGATCGACTTATTGCAATTACGTGTCTATAAGTGTGGTGACTCCTTATATTATATTTTATAGGTAACGGTGGTAGAACGGTTACTTCTTGATTAAGAACTTTAAAACCCTATGTATTTATGACTTGTGACTTTAATTTCCAAGTGGCGTACATTTGTAAATGTTTAGTAGCAATAACTCTCGCTATCGGTGAAGAAAAACATCGCGATGAAATCCCCATGTCGAAGAAGGGGTTACCTATCAGTAGTCCGAAATGACGTTTTCCAGAAATAACGTTTGGTCGAAATTTCCTAACCTCGAAAGTAATTTTGAGAGGAAAATGTTTTTTTCTTTTAAACTTAACTTAACCTAACTTAACTGAACCGAATCGTGTCTTTGCGATAAATATTCAATATATCCTGAAAGAACAACTGTTTCGTTGTAATTCGGTTTTCGGTGTAATGAATATTCGAACAAACGTTATTTCGTACAAAAAAATTTTCGACTTTGTGATAGGTTACCCGAAGAAGGTACTCACAGTCAAGGTTCGAAATTATCAAGATATTTATGTCCTTATAACCCAGTTTCAGAATATTGAAATATTTGTTTAATGATATTTCAGCAATGCATCGTTAGGGTAGGCTCCAATACGTCAAACACGTTAACTAATTTTAACTGTTTTCAAAAGAGAATTTTGTGCTTTATTTTTTTCTAATTAAAACGAACACTTCACCATTTGTCACTTACCCGCGTTTTAATTAGTGGATGGCAGATATATGCGATGATTATCCATGCTGATTCATAGTTTTGTAGATTTCATTTTGGACTAAAATTACAGTGACAATCTCAATACAGAAGAGTACTAAAAAAATCGACTTTAAATGTTCGTAGAATTACATCAATTTGCCAAGTTTTATTGAAATCGGTTACGGAAAGTGCGCGAAACCGGATTCATATCCTAGTTTGCCACCTTTAGAGGTGGAATATTTTCTTCAAATTTAAATGGGACCAATACTAAGCACCCTCTTTCCAACAGAAAAATAATCATCAAAATCAGTTCACAAGAGTTATGGCGTAACATACATAAAAAAATAGGTGAATTGAGAACCACCTCCTTTTTTTCATGTCTGTTAAAATTTAAATAAACACGAAAGTATCTTTGATTATAACGTGGTACAGAGTCAAGAAGCAAGCTTGAAACTTAAGATTTAAATCCAACGCTATGCCGCTTACGATAAGAATGGTCCAAATTACAAAGTGTCAAGCTTGACGTGCTCTCCACTGTACGATATTGCTAGAGGGGTAGTAGTATTTTGTTGTTCGAATAAATTTGATCAACATGAAGATACATTGTTAAGGTATATTTTATTAGTGATAATTACCACTTGGAAAACGATTGAAGTCTCCAATCCGCACTAGCCCAGTGTGGCGGATTATGGCCTAAACCTCTTTAGAGAAGATCAGTGGGACTTATAATAGGTTTCAGATGCTAAATTTTATAAGAGCGTGAGTAAGATTTTAATATAGTAATAAATTTGCAGGTCAACCGGAGGCAATGGACGTGTCACCTATGGAGGAACCGGGCACTTCCAAGGCGTCGGAAAGCAAGAAAAGCAGGCCCAGCCCGCTTGATGAACCGCAGGCATTAGCGCTGTTTGCTCTCTTGGATCAGTAAGTTTAAAGTTAATTATATATAAATGGTATAACGATGTGCACGTACTGTGACAAATTATTAAGCAAAGTTAACACTCTTTGACTAGCGGTATAAAAACGATGACGAGGATAAGGAATCAGATTTATTTTTTAATACGCTTAAGGTTGTGTATGGTGTGCAGAAACATGATCGTTGTGATCGTCTTTTAGGTAATTTTTTTACACATCGTCACTTTCCATCAGGTGAGGTGGGGATCTAATGCGCACTTATTTTTTTTAAAGAAGGAAAAGTTGCCATGTATGTAAATATGGCAACACTGAATTGTAAAATCCAGTGTTGCCATATTTGTGCTGCAAATACTGCATACTCGTAGTTTAATTTAAAAAAAAAACACTCTTTCCCCAGCTACATGCACAGTGACGAATCTATTATTCGGTATGTCGCGATGAGGTACGCCGCGACTGTTTTTCCGCAGGACTACATACCTGCGCGGTACTTGTTACTGCTAGCGAGTGGAGATAGGTAAGTTGTGAGTTCAATATTAACTCATTTTTAAGTACATTTATTTAATTATTATTTTAAGTGCGTTAATTGTATAATATCGATTTAAAATAAGTGTCAACAAATTTTTTATTGTTGACTATTAAAAAAATTACAGACATACGTCTGTAATGTAACTTTAACGAATGAATAAAATATACAGGGTGGAAATTTGAAACGGGGCAACTGCGTTAACTGTATTAGCTGAAAATTGCCTTTTATCTTGCTGACTGTACCATTTTTTCGAAATCTATGAATGCCCATCGAAATGTCGTGGGCAGCCTTCTATGATCGATTTCCTGTAGCTGTGATGATTAAGGTACCTACTGTGTCATCAATTCATAGAACAGTAATGTCAATAAATCGAAATATAGCTTTTAGTAAGAGAGTAATTTCTTCCATGCAACTTTAGGAGATGCAAATGGGGACGAATTTCAGTTTCGATTACTAGTACACCACAAATTTCTAGCAATAGGTTTTTTAAAGTTCACTATAAACTCACCTACCTATAACCTTAATGGATGTTAACTTACAGCAGCAGCGCCCAATGATCTTTGCAATTTTGGGCGTGTCGCTTGCTTCGACTATAAATGTAGCCCAACTAAGTACACGTAGGATGTTACTTCTTATAAATAAAACAGCTAAACAACGTAGTCAATCTTTATTTATACGATAAAGCTATACTATAGAATAAAAAATAAGATAAAGATTTACATATTTTTCTAATTTTTGTAGCCAAGACGATATTTCAACCGAAGCCCTAAAATATCTATATGGCACATCCCGTCTGAGTGAAATAGAAGATGTAGTTAACAACGTATCCAGAAAAGAGACAAACGCAGTCAATATAGACGTGGAGGGATCTGATAAAGAAAAGGATAAACCGCAGGAAGTAATAGAGTTCAAAGTGCCAAAGTTTAACGACGTAGTCAGTTATATTTGGGATCAAATACAAAAGAGGAAACAGGGGTCAAATGCTAAACACAGATTTGTTATTAACAATCAGGTGTTGCAGTTTCATCCTTTGACCTACCATGAGGTGAGAGTTACATGTGTACAGCACTACTTTCAAAAGTTCAAGCTTCGAAGTCATTGGCGAATAATTTTGTTATTGAGACGCATCCTGGAAAACAGCATTCCAAATGTTAATCTTATGTGTTTACACAATTATTATTAGGGTAAACTTTTCATTAATTAGTTACATACAGTTGCGATGTTCTGATATCTACTTGTATATCTTTTCAAGAAAAACATCTAAAAATAAAACATAGCACGTTACTGCATAACATTATCAGAAGCAATATCTTGTTACGATGTTCTGATATCAACATGGATATCATTTCAAGATAAGTATCTGAAAATAAAACATAGCACGTTGCTGCATAACCTTATTCGAAATAAGACCTTGTTATGATGTTCCGGTACCGACATGTATATCTTTTAAAGAAAAGGATCTGAAAATAAATCAGCTTTTTATTTCATAAAGTTATTCAAAATAAGAGCCTGGTTTGCTTGTGTTCTTACATGTACCGACATTAAATTTTTTCAAAGCTTCTGAATATTGAACCATGGAATGTGACTTTTTGACTTTATCCCAAGATAAATATTTTTATGTAAAGTAAGTTCTGGTTGCAGTAGGTAACTGATGGACAGGACAATTGTGATTTCATTTAACGTATTAAAATGAAATAGAAATGCAAAGCAATCGCCAATGTGTAACGTTAGGTAGTCTCTTGGTTTGGCATATTTCTGTCACAGCCTGCCACTTTTTCATATAGCTTTATAATTGTTAAAGGTCTCAGTGTGTAAATCTTTTTAGAATATTCTTAATCTGAAATCTGTAATTTGATGTCGATTTGTCCTTTACACTCACATGCTGTAAAATATTTCTATTTCAGATTTTAAGATATTTGCGAATGTGTCTTAATCGTGATGCAGATCTGAAGGACTGCTCTAATCATCCTAATGCTACGTCACCGTTACTTGCTAAATACTTTTACGAAAACTTGCTGGAAACAGATATATTGCAGGAATATCTCACTATGATTACTTCATTGCTTAACTCTAGTCCAGGTAATATTACACGTAAATTGAGTACGTTACGGGTCCTAAAGGCAGACGGTGTCAGTAACGATTTTGGTATTTTTTTTATAAATTTTTATAATTTGTTTATAAACTTTTAAATTTTTTATATTATATATGTTTTTAATAACGGTGGGAGAAAAATTAGCTGCGTGTTAGAGATACTGTTATTATCATAAACCAATGGTTACTGGTCTTCTGCAACTTGAAAGTTCATTCTTGCGCTATTCTCACATAGAGATCTCGCACTTTATACTATCGTGCTAGCCCTACAGGTCATGGTCCACCACACTGGCCCAAGACCGTTTCAGGACATTTCGATATCTCATTTGAGAAGCAGCCTTTCATCCACTGGGCTCTTACCGCTGATTTAAGTTGATAATCGGTATTAAAACTGGCGCCCTGTGTGGATTTTAACAGTATCAATATTTAAATTCTTGGTATTTTCTTGCTGAATTTCTGGTTTATTTTCTTCGACTCAGTTCTAATTTAGGCAATTTAGTTTCTCGTTTTAGTTTATTCATAGGAAAGATTTTAATTGTGATGCCTATTGTGGGTCTTTTTAGATGTCATGCCGCTGACTTGTTTCCTTGACATCGTTGGCTGCGTCCCTGAAAAGATGGCTTCGAAATACACAAATCTTCTCCCGTTCTTCAAAAATCTCTTCACAACTAGTACCAAAGAAGAGGTTCGCGATATAGCTGCAGTTATTTACGCAATTATTAATGTTCATACGAGTGAAAAGTTGGCAATAGACAAAGAAATCCAAGAGTTTGTAGTGCAAGGGCAAAACAATAAGACTTTGGAGACTCAGTGTGGTTATTTATCAGCATTCGCGAATTTGTGCGAGAGATGTATTGTATTATCAAAAAAAGGAAAGTTTGGTGGTAAAGGATTTAAACCGGAGAATTGGGAACCATATCAAGTGGGAGCGTTGTGTTTAGGTAAGTGTTTACTTCAATAAAAATATAGACTTTTAATACTCTTGATTAGATAAACAAAATAGAGTTACGTGGTCGCTAATCCAAGAATGGTTACCAAAAGTTTATTTAATAACCACTATACAGTGCTTTTTTTTTAAATGGGACAATATGGAGTAACCCGAAACCATAGAAGATACAAGGAAACTGTCTTAGGAACCATTAAATTTATTTTGTATGAAAACATTTTGGCATAGTCAATATTTTGGTCAAGTGTAACTTATTCATAAAAATGAATAAAATTGATCAAAAGTTTTTTAGTACTGATCGACTCAGTTTTACATAAGGATTATTTCATTGTATGGGACGAAAAATGTCGGGACAGCAGAAATTGGTCAAATTTCATGAAATGTAAATGTAAGATAAAATTGACAAATATTTTTTTTAATGCTGATAGACGCAGCTTCTTATGAAGATGATTTCATTGTATGGGACGAAAATAATCGGGACGGCAAAAGTTGGTCAAATTCAATGAAAAAAAAAAAGAATCTAAAATTTAAATATATATAATTTAAAAAATTATCATCCATTGTTTCGGATTTCCCATACTGTCCCATTAAAAAAACATTCTGTATATTTTTTTCAGCTAACTTCCTCGCCGACTCCCACGCTTTGCTAGTAAGCACATCATGTTCTGCTGTGTCTCTTCTCGCCCGTTGTAGCGGCTTGCCCCTGCCCAACTTTTCCCCAAAACAGGAATCTCTCCTACAAACCGACAACCCATTCAACATCAACAAGAATGACGTCATAGACATTGATGATGTCGTTACAAAGTACACAGTAGCTGACAGATTGTTCAAGATAGTCAGTAATGCCAAATTGCCGTCGAAAGTTAAAGAAAAGGCGTTGTTTACACTGGGGCTTTTGTGTTGCGGAGAACGCTTCCCATTTGCAAAGCAAATTGTTAAAGGGTTCTTGCAAATGGCTAAAGATGTAAGTTTTAACAGTAAAGATACAAGTTTTTTTTTAATATTCGTAATGTTATCTAAACCCGTTTCTTATTTTTGGTTCTGGAAAATATCGACGAGATATATACATGGTTTTGATTTCGTTTATTATCGACCTTAAGAGGACAGGCTATCGCAGCTTCGTATATATGGTGATCAAGTAATATTTTGGTTACCTATTAATTAAACTAACATTTTACAAAACCTATCTAACTACTTTGTCAGTGTCCCGTTAAATTATACAAGTAATTTTTTTAATATAATTTTATGGTCTGTCTTTTAGAAGATGGAGTAAAATGACAATTTTTTTGCGCAAAAATGTTGCCCGCTTTCAAGCAGCTAGTGATTGCAATTGATAAATATTCTATCGACTATCGACTGAGTGTTGGTCACGCTTATGCAATAAATAGCCGAAATTGTTTCATTTGAATCATCATTGGCCCATTATTTGTTCAACTGCTGGGTACAGGTTCAATATATATTGTATGTTCAATATATACACTGCATTCAGAATAATATATTAAAAATACAAAGAGGAGACATATTTTAAAGTTTTTAATTTTAATTGACTATAGAAAAGCGGCTTTAATTCATATACATTTTAATGTTTATTTATATTATATATTTCGATACAAGTAAGCTAACTGTGAAAATAAGAACAAAGAACGCAATTAGTAATCAATAGAATGTCGTAACATTAATAATACAGACATCTTTGGAAAAAAATACCTTCTTTTACAATCTATCTATAAAACTGTTGGCAACAACTACATGACTATTTAAAATTTTATGAAAACTGCCAACTTTGCAAATGTCATTTTACTTCGTTTTCAAAAAAGACAAATTATACAAGATAATGAGAATCGTAGTATAAAATTAGATAACACCGAAACGCCACCTTCAAAAATATTTTTTACTTTATTAACCCTATTCTTTACGTTCAAGTGAAACCACGCCGGGTAACATTGAACCAACTATACAACGATTTGATTAACGACAGCCGTCTAATTCCTTTACTTAACTATTATTTACAGAGTAAGGAATTCGAAATACATTTACAAATCGGAGAGTCACTAGTTCTGTGCGTCGAAGGAGTGAACTCCAATGAAAGCAGGGATCTGTGGAGTGAACTACCTAAAGAGGTATTTTTATATTTATTAATTTTTTGCAATGTTAGTATAAGCATAGGTAATTACTAAGTACAAACGTACCCCGCTAGGGTACAGCAAGTAATAATCGTAGTACTTTTCCATTAACAAAAACAAAAGACGTTAAAGTACTTAAAATAGACACAAAATTAACAGAAAGTTTACTGTTGATTTTTATTGAAAATCATTATGATATTCATTTTATTTTTTATGAAATTACTCCACTAGTTTGTTGTAATGATTACTATTAATGTTAATTATTACAATTACAACAAACTAGTATTACAATACAAAGATAGAACACAAAGAAAGAACCATTTTTCTTAGTGTTCGTTCTTTATATGAAATGAAATTATTTTTCCGGATTTAAATCGCGTATATTTGTTTTTTCAAACAAATTGACGTTTCGGGCCCTTTACAGGTACCAGGGTCACGGTTGACCATGCACGGTTCTTTATGTTAATAATTATATGAAAATTTATTGTTACGTTATGGAAGAGTTGAACGAGTTCATCAGCTCTTTCACATCATCACATAAGAGAACACTTCTTGTAAGAGAGTCCATGAAGTGTCTCACGCTCTAGTAGTACTCATTAAATTAAGAGAGATTAAAATGGCTTGGAATATGTTGTAATTTGTTTCTTTCTTGAGTCTGATATTTTATTATAAATTAATATACATGCATAAAGCGGGCTTTCTTTAAACATTTCTTATTTTTAACATTGCAATATCGTTCTCTATTGCCTTCTTAAATTTTATTATCATTCAACGTATTATTATTTCAGGGAGAAGCGAAGATTCGAGATTATGAAGCTCTTAAAGAAAATGATGAGCTTCTTGAGTGGTTACTCAATGAATTATTCAGAATCGGAAAACATCCCCATCCACACTCACGACAGGTGTGTATTTTTATGTTTTGAATTTTCTTTATTCCGTACACCTACACCTGTACGTGCGTTGAACCAATTTTGGTAAAAAATAGAATCAAGCTGAAAAAACTTATAAAATTAAATGAATTTGAATTTGTATAATTAATTTGATACGTACACACATATCATCACGCCTGTCTCCCACTGGCGTAGGCAGAGACTACGGATCTCCTCCTGGTATGCTCCTGACAAACCGCCTTCGTCTGCGATCAGTCTCTTCATATAAATGCCGTTGTTTATTCTTGGTAGTTTTAAACCGAAAAACATTTCCAATCTGATTGAGATATGTACTCGTACGCTGAAGTCTACTGCTCCCCACAGCATTAATTTGATTACTGTTTGTTTTAGGCAACCAGTATTTGGCTGCTAGCATTATTGAAGGACTGTCCTGAACGCGTACCTGTGAAGAATACGCTGCAGAATCTGCAAGACATGTTTATGGATTTCCTCTCTGAGAATAGTGGTAAGTGACAATTATAGGGTTTTTAAGTTTTCGAGATTGCTACATATTAGAAATGAAACTATTTTTTTCGGATATAAATTGTGCATATTTGCTTTTTCAAACAAACAAAAGACCGTTTCGTGCCCTTCAGTTTCCACGGTCATTTTTGACTAATAAGAGGTAATGATTTTAAATTGCTCGTTTTGATATGACTACAATCAATTTTTGTTCTAGAAATGTTTTGTACCTAAATATGAAATTATGTTATTCAAAAGGTGCAAAACAAAAGTTACTTGTAATATTTATTTTATTGAATATCATAATGTTTTTTCTACCATGGTATTCATACATTTTTTGTAAAAAAAACTCCTACTGGTTTGTTAATCCAAAAATATAACAAATAACAATTCTTACTAGACTCGAAGCAACGTCTGTTGCCTCATCGTGGCTGTATGGCCGTGCTGTTTTTAATTTTTCTTGTGTTTGCATTGACTTACAATTATATGGACGTCGGGTCCGCGCTAAAAAGTGTCCGAACTTATAGGGCGTTAAAATCGTATACAGAGCGTCATTCACGCTCTAGTCTTCGTTTGTTCGACTGACAGCGAAGCAAGCAAAATTAGACAGTACTGCGATGACATTACAATTTAAATTCAACGTTTTAGCTTTTTCATATTCCTTGACATGTCACTACGTTTAAATAGGTTGACTTGGGACATTTTTTTCGTGGTTTTTGTATAAGACCCGTCGTCCATTTATTTGTAAGTCAATGTGTGTTTGTTAGATTTTTGTGCCAATCATAATAACAAAAAGTTATTCGTGATGTACAATTAGCCACTGAAGTGGACAATATGGCCACAGGGATCGGGAGCACTTGCGCTTACGTAATACGAAATAACGGTTATCGATACAAAATCAACTGTCAAAATGAGATTAAGTGATGATCACTGAAGTCTCAGGGTCGTATTCTAGAACTCTACTCAATGCTCAAGTCAGGATTTGAGTATGGTTTAAAGGACTCGAAATCATACTCAAGTCCCTGCCATTAGGGTCGTATTTCCAGTGCTTGTGTTTCCAGTGCAATCCTGACTTGAGCATTGAATAGAGTTCTAGAATACGACCCAAGTTTCCCAGTTGGTAACTATGGATAGAAATTACTTATCTGCGTTTTTGACTTAAGGTAGTTGAGCACTTTGTTCGGTGATTATCATTTTAAGCTGTCAGTTGAGTTACAAAATGGGCCTGCTGGGATTTTTAAAAACACTGTTTAATTGTTTAACTGGGTGACGAAATACTTTCAAAGATTTCTCATAGATGGCGCTGCGGCTAAAAGTCGTTAAAAACCAGATACAAAGATCCAACAAACAAGCACATGGAAAAATTCGTGAGGTCCGCTTGTTCGTTCCGTGGCTTAGCTGTCAGGCACGGTTTTCTAGAAGACGTCGGTTCGAATCCGGCCGGATCGAAGGAATTTTTTCTAAGTGTTCGATCGTCGTATTAATAATTATAAGAAACTAGTGGAGTAATTTCACAAAAAATAATTGAATATGGTGGTGAAACATCCTGACATTGAATAAAACATTAAATTAAATAAAAAACATTATGTTTAATTTTAACAGAAATAGTACAAGACGTAGCAAGTAAAGGCCTCAGTCTCGTCTACCAGAACTCTGATGAGAGTCAAAAGCAAGCGTTAGTGGCCCAGATCATAGATCAGTTGACAAGCGGTAAGCGTGCTGTCGCACAGGTCACTGAGGACACTAAGATATTCGAAGAGGGACAGCTGGGAAATGCTCCTACTGGGTGAGATTTATTTTGATTTATAAATATGGTAAAGCAACATCAAAGCCTGATATCTGCATCAGTGACAAACGGTAGAAAATGTCGCCGTAAGTTGTCCCGACGTAAAACAATGTAACAAAATCGTTTAAAATTGTTGTTTTATATTGTACAGGGTCAAGAACATGCCAAACTTGACACATACGATGTAAATTCTACTTCACAAAGTTGAATTATATACAATCGTGGCCATAAAGGCACCAACAGGCGTAACTTAAAATTTTTACTATAACGAATTCTATACATCACAACATGAACATGAAATTCTGAATCGAACTGGTTTACCTCTTAACTGAGTCGGTTCCTGAGTTAGCTTCGCGGGAGGGAGCCGCGACGTGAGAGCTTAGGGTGAGACCAGACGAGTATAATCTTTTGAGTTGTGAGTCGCGTTTTTTTGAATCGCTTAATTTGCGCTGCATTCGGTTTTATATTAAAGTCCCATTTTGCTACACGACGACGCAAAATAAGTTGTCTGCTGACTGCCCAAAATTAGTTGTCTGCCGATTACGACTGAAATTTTGTCGCACTGTGTATCGTGCTTGTGCGGGTGAAGAGAGGGGTGATGGTAACATTTATTGGCATGTGGAAGTATTTTAGTATTTTACAAACGCTTAAAAGTAATTGAATAAAGTACGTTCGTCTGGCGCCCTGAACCAATTTCAGTCGAACATGAACTACGATACTCTAAAAACACCACTCACAAAATTAGGTTCGTCTGGCCTCGCCCGTAGTCAGTCGTTCGCTTAGCTGGCGTCACGTATTTTTTTAAATTTAAAGTCTCTTTGAGTCAAATGTACACTATATTTGCAGTGTATGAGTCTTCCGATTAAGAACCAAACTAAACAAGTTGTTTATAATGTTTACAAATACCCTTCTCGTCACTTCTTTTGCAACGCGTAGCTATATCAGGAACCGACTCAGTTAAGCTGCATGCCCGTATGTCCATCCATTTGTGCTAATAGGGTTTATACATTGAGTATATAACCAGAAACAAAGGCGAAATGTCATTTAATTTGTTTGAAAACTATTCTGCCATATCATTACTGTGACAACTGCGCTCCGATTGGCCAGCCTGAATTCGAAACAATTGACGGGTGTTGTCAATTGTTTCACTTCAAATTGACCAGTTGAAAACTTGAGCTTTGCTATAATGGACGAAAATTGCAAAATTACGTATTTAATATTTGATTACCGATGAAATTTGATTCCGTTTGTTTTGTAATTAGATGTTTTGCTGTTTTTCCCACACCACCGAATAGAACAGCACGGCATTGTTAGAGATATTATGTTTATTACAATAAATACAGAATATTGTTTGGAATATACGGAGACGTACACACAGGTCAGTAGTTGGCCTGTCTATATTTCAGTGCAAACGAGAGTTGATATTTATAAGAGCCGTATCGCTAATGTGTTACCAGGAATGTATGGCCCTTATTTCGTCTCTATTTCTGGTTATATACTCGATGGGTTGATAACATATGCGAAACAAATTAAAATTTCTTTAAGTTATTAATTTTATATTGATTTTATTGAAAAGATGTATTAACAATTATGTTCGATATGTGGGTTCGATCTTTATATTAAGAAATATTCATTGTATTTTTTACAGTGGCAACCTATCAACATATAAAGAGCTATGCTCTTTGGCTTCAGATCTGAACCAACCGGATCTATTGTACAAGTTCATGCACTTAGCTCATCACAATTCGCTTTGGAATTCTAAGAAAGGTTATTTTTATTATATTTTATTTATATTTAGTTATTATAATTGTTCTTCATAATAATTTAACGACGTTCTCGGTTATTAAACTGAGCGGTTTTGGAGGTCATTTGTGCGGTGTGCTTTTTGAACTTCAGGGAACTATATTCGATTCCAGAAGATATTATTTGTTTATTTATTATATGGACAACAAAACATACTATATTTGTCAACTTTATGTCTCAGGGTGACGGGTGCTTTGGCAATATCTCTCAGTTCTATATTCAATTAAAGCTCTGTGTGTTAGTGCAGCTGTTATGAGTACGCTTATTGCTTTCCACCAGGCGCACAACTTGTTCATCCCGTCATTTGAATTTTTTTTATTTTGATTATAAATAAATAGTCACACACTCATAGCCCCGTACTAGGAAAACCGTGTATCGTGGGTGCCATGGACACACACATAGACAACCACAAACTACACCCAAACTCACGGTGGAAATAAATGAGGCCATTCAAATTTTTCTCTCAGCCCGGTAATCGAACCCGGGTCCACTGCGTGGCAGACTAGCATGGTAGCTGTTCGGCCCACGGAGTCAATTAAATATTATAAAAAAAATATCTTCACGCTACACTCTCCGTTTACAGCTATGTGAAACCAATTCGCGCAGCGTACATACAGTCACCCATCATACGTACTGGTACATACGTTTATCAGTCACCCACTGGGAAGAGACCAAGATTGACGTTCGTTTTCTACGCTCTTGGCAAACCTATTTCAACTCCACTCATCATACATGCCCGTTTATTCTTGATACTTATATTCTGGTCTATTAAGGATAACCCCAATCGAATCGGGACATGAACGTTGAGGTTTATCTCCCCAGCGTTCCATCCAGTCGCTCTATAAAGTGCTGTCAATGTAGATGTTAGTAGTAACATCTATCCTTTTTACATGACCAATCCACTTATCGATTTACTATATTTTATAACAATATTTTATTTATTATTCACTCAGTAAATATGAAAAATACATGAAAAATTTGAAAAAGATATTTTTTAATGTAGTCATTAATTTTCTGCAACTGTAGTGTTTGAACCTTTGTACTAAACATCGGAAATTTTACTCATATTCTATTTTATTTACAGGTGCAGCCTTCGGTTTCCACTCAATAGCTTTGCAAGCTGGAGTTCAATTGTCTGAACATTTACCTAAAATAGTGCCACGTCTGTACCGATACCGGTTCGACCCTACGCCTCGTATACAAAACTCAATGGCTAGCATCTGGCATGCTTTAGTGTCCAACACACAGGCGACTGTAAGTTGCACTAATAGTATTATTTACATAATTTGTTGAAGTTACAGTACTCAAGTTACATTTTGTATCGTAAGCAAAAAGTTATGACAGTAACATATTTAAGTAATTGATAGATTCAGGCGTTACTTTGCAGAAGTCTATGTTAATAAAAATGAAAGTAAATTAATTTGCTACTCCCCGAACCTCAATTTCTTCGGCCGAGTGTCGAGCAAATAAGAGCACCTGATGATACCTCGTGGAGAGACGAAACATGTGTCGGGTGTATTTTTGGTAGTGGTGTCGTAATTGCGCTTGTGTTACTTATTTTGTTAATTTTATGCGGAGGGAGGGTGGGAAAATTAACTGCATGAAAAAATATTCAACACAAGCGCAGGTATTTAACCTTAACTGGGTTCATGAATAGCAATTAAAAAAAAATTAATTTACTTCCATTTTTTTTTGTAACATATTTATTTCTTATGAGTTTACAACGATAAAATTGTCACTCTGGCTATAAATAATTGTAAACAAAATTCATTTATTGAATATTAGGATTTTTTGTGAACATATGCCACTCGTTTGTTATTATTACCGATGCAAAGATCGTATTATTACTGATGCAAAGATCGAACACAAAGAAGAAATCCTTTGATCTAACTGGACTTGAATCAGTATCTGTCGCCAGTATTGTATTTATATTACTTTAAATTGTTATTTCTTGTGACTTCTAGGGGGATGCTGTACTATTTGACATATGTATTAAAACAGTTATGATCGAGGCACAATACACAAAGTCTGTAATTCATATAATGAATTATGTGCACTGAATTACACAAGCACAGTAAAATAAGTTCACATAATATAAATTGTCGTCCGTCATGTGTATATTACGGATTTATATTATTTTCATCCTTTAACGTCAACGTTTAAAATTTTAGGTGCACAAATATCACAAACAAATCTTAGACGATCTAGTCGCGAATCTCACGTCCAACCAATGGCGAGTGAGGATGTCGTGCTGCAACGCCCTCGCTGACTTGCTACGGTAATATTTTGAATAATAACTACCCTACTGTATCAACTCACGTGTACGTCCTAGGGTTACAAGCTATGGACACGGGTGCGGGCACGGGTACGAGCATTACACCATAATCGAGGATGGTCTCCCAATGAGGCTTGAACTCGTCATAACGTCGCGTCGTCCTGATTGATATTTAAAATTACCTAGATACGAATCAAAAAGTGCATCGCACATTATACAGCACTGAATGAGAAAAATCAGCGAATGAGAAGAATGCGCCAATTCATTACATAGAGCATTTTTCTCTAGCATTCTCTTATACGTTGAACATTACTTTACATTAGAAGTGAAAACCACGTGATTGGTTTTGGTGACTTTCAGAAAAATAAACTATACAGGTTGCAACATAAAGGTTGATCATATTTGAGCTGGTACTCATGATTCGAAACAACTTTAGATGGAAAAAAATATGTCTCTAAATATAAATTCGGTTCATTATACAGGCTGTATATTTGAAAGTGGGTCATACTTATAGAGTGCGTTATATTCCTGATTCTCAACCCAAAGAAATAATAAACTAATGAACTTAAACTTTACAAAAAATATTTTTTTATTTTTTTTATCGACTACTACTTGAGCACAACATTAGTTATCAAAATCTATGCACATCACTATTATTGCTCCGACGCAGCGGCGAAAAGCAAAGCACAGGTCGGGGGTGAGGACGCGGACGCATACGCGAAATTGCTCAGTCCACGCGCGACCTTGATCTAATGAAGACACGTAAATTATTTGTCCTTCCGCTCGCCCGATGGCCGCAAAATGGGTATTTATTCTAACGTGGAATTGACTGAGATGGTGCGACTTTACGCAATAAGTGGTGATAGTGTGAGGCAAGCTATTGAAATGTTCCCAAATCGGAGTTTACGCGAAGGAGGTGAACAGTGTCGAAGCGTTGCGTGAGAGGATTATCTCAGCATTTTATACTGTGAGACAAAATGTGTTTGTGTTGTACAATTTCAAACAAAATTTACTATGCCGTGCTAGACTATGCATTGTGGAAAACGGTGGACATTTTGAACACTTGCTCCGTACCACGTAAGTGTAAATAAACTGTAAATAACTAAACAATCAATCATTGTAATTAATTTGATTTCACATTTTTAACTACGCCAAAAACCTCAATTCTTATTAAATGATAACTACTTACTAAATCATAAACTTATATTTTTTAGTACGTAAAACATTTCGATGATAGTTCAAGTAAAAAACAATTAACATAAGCTAAAACGTAAATGTGAAATCATTGTTATTGTTGCTGTCTCACTCGGCGCTCGCTTGGTAGCATTCCCATTGCACTCGAAATCAAGCGTAAAGGGAATCGGTTTATTCCTATCTACACTTCAAAACACATTTGTTGATTTATTTTTTGTTCTATCCCATATCCTAATTTTATTTTAGTCTATGTTAAGTTGTAACATGATTTACTATGACATGTATGAATATGTCTCACTTTCAAATATACAGCCTGTTTAAATTTCCGATCGACGGGTAGTATTTCTTTCGCCCTATATATGTACGTACTCAAACCGTCTTTATTTGGTAGCAAATTACGCTTGAAATCTTTACATTGATTAAACTCTACTACTCACTCATATAGTTCATTTGCCTGAGAAGAATGGAGTAAGAAACTCTAGGGGTTGCTCTACATTTATCATTTACAATATTTATTTTAAACATTATATCATACTAAGTAGGATGCGCTTTATAAGAAGGAATAAAGTAACCGTAATGTATGTGGTATAAAGTGGCTATGATGCTTTCAGAGGAGCTCAGAGCCTCCACGATTCCATCGAGCAGTTGCCCACAATATGGTTGCAGCTGTTCAGAGTGATGGATGATGTGCATGAAGGGACCAGGCAGGCCGCGACTTCTACAGCTAATGTTCTTTCTAAGGTACGCGTAACTACACACTGAAACACATTATTAGTTATAGGTACAAAAAATTCATGAACTCAAAATAAACTTTTTTTCTTCTATAACCCAAGTGATGGAACGAAAAAGTTGTGTCCATGGTGGTAAGCGACACGCCTGTACATAACAGTTGTAGTGTCACTCAAAGCTTTAAATCAAAAAGATCTGAGTAGCATTGCCACAGTGCCTGTCACCCTGAGGTATAAGTTGATTAGTCTCATGTGCCTGTGATGTCTCCAGTACCCTTCAAAATCGGGATGTAGACATACTCACATTACTGCTTGGCTGCAGAGATAGGTTAGGTGGCAGTACTTCCTTGGAGAAACTCTTTCACAAGGAACTCTTCTAAAAGACATAAGTTCTGATACGTATAATTACCGACTTTTTTTTCGGTAGCATTGATAACTTTTATTAGTATATTATACAGTCGATGGTCTAAGATATTGAAAATCTTCCTAGGCATACAACAGAAAAAAATGTATTTAGGTAATGTAATTAAAGATCAAGTTGGCTTAAAAAGTTTCCTATAACGTCATTCACTAATGATCCAATAAGGAAGTAGTTCCAAAGTGAAGTTTACGGCTGGTTAAGTGTTAGTTTTATAATAGTCGGTTATAAGGGGTCAAGTATCTTAGGGCATTTACTGTAATATTGTACGTATATTTATATGTATTTTGTATTCATTTTCTCAACAACGATTATCTCTTTTCGGCTAATGTTGTTAGAGTCCTCAGAACGAAAGACAAAAGTTTTTACGCGAAATGGAGATCTCTTATTGGATGAGTTTTGTATTTTGACAGTTAACATAGCGTTATAATAACAACGTCCATACATTGTTATCAAAGTAAATAATTTACTCTCTATAACGTTTTAACTTCCATGTAAGATGGTGACATTCATATGGGAGTTAAAAAACACTATTTTACATAATCATTTTTATTTTTAGCTGTGCATCCGAGCCGCTGATGTGAACCAAGGTAAAGATGGCAAGGAAATCGTTTCTGTCATTTTACCCGTTTTACTGGAAACAGGAATTACTAATGTTGTCAAAGAAGTGAGGAGCGTTAGGTACGTTCATGAAGTGTTAGCATTTCCTTTGATTTTTGTTGCAACTCTAAATAACAATGTAATATACAATTTTTTTTTTAATTATTAGAGAGCTTATTCTCAGGAGAATATGCCACTCTCATAGGGACATCACAACGTAATTTTTAACAAATCAAATACAATACACACAATTTATTACATAGTTACTAATTATCTACATTTTATACATTTTTGTACCTAGTAGTGGTTACCTATCAGTACTCCGAAATGACATTTTCCAGAAATAACGTTTCGTCGAAATTTCATAACCTCGAAAGTAATTTTGAGAGAAAAATGTTTTTTCTTTTAACTTTTTTTTTTTTTAATCGTGTCTTTGCGATAAACATTCAACATATCCTGAAAGGACGACTGTTTCGTTATGATTCGGTTTTCGTGTAATGAAAATTCGAACAAACGTAATTTCCGACAAAAACATTTTCGACTTTGTGATAGGTTAGCCCGTGGAATACATCGCTCTGGCTACTTTGGTTGTAGGGTTGGCAAGTATTCTGTTACATAACCCACATTTAGTACTGGCTACTCGAATTTAACACCAATGCTATACGAAATAAATTTCTAAATCGTTTTAAGTAAGTTATTTTGTTTTATAGAACGCACGATTAGCACGACACTACGTATATGCGTCGCCTAATATTACATTTAATTGCACATACCCACGTAGTACTTGCAAGATGAAATTGAATATTGAATTGAAGGAACTATGTAAATTATATATATAGAACGCAACTGCGGAAGTTTTGCACGCTTTTTCATATCAGTTTCCGTTACTGATTCCGCAACTTTTATAACTGACCTTTATTAGAAAGGCACGCGACTGGCGGTGGGGCGCACATTCATTAGCAGTTTTGTATTAAACATAATAATGAAACAAGGAACACGTCCTGTATACATATAACTATTTCATAGAGATCTTAATACTATTTACACTTTCGCTTTCTTTTATTTACTTATGACATCAATTTCCGTTATGGCAATTCCGTTATATCACTAGTTTACACTATTTTCACATATTTTGCACGCGTTGTCGGTGGACCAATGATTAGCACTGCGGGTGCAAGGTCCTGGGTTCTATTCTCGGAAGTCCAATTTTGTAAACAAAATAAATTGGTCCTAGCAGTGTTCTGGTTCGTACCACAGAGTTAATTTCATTGCTTTGGCACATTAAATAACAACAACAATAACAACGCACTTATAGCCTCGCACTAGGGAAATCCTGGAAAGGGAAACACACGATAGCGGGCACCATTGACACACATATAGACAACCACAAATTATACCCAAACTCACGAGATAAATAAATATAGGCCACACAAATGTTTCTTTCGGTCTGGGAATCGAACTCCGGACCTAACAACAACCGAGCCAAAAATTTTATTAATTTAAATAATTTAGAAAATAAAATGCCTTAACTTGAAACCTAATAATTGATGTGACTGTCCGTGACATTGTTATTAATTTTATTCCAGTCTTCAAACTGTATCGAAGATGGTATCATCTGCCGGTGAAAGTCTAAAACCATTCCTGCCGAAATTGATCCCCGCCCTAGTAGGCGCAGCGGGCGAGCTCGAGTCAGCTAAACTATCGTACCTTAGTACCGCGTTGACTGACACCGGGACTCGTGAGATGTTGGATGATTTAAGAGCTAATGCTACCAGGCAACACTATACTACTGATACTGTTGTTAAGGTAAGTTTTAGCCGACTTCAAGGAGACGTTTCCCAATTCGATTGTATTTTTCTTTTGTATGTTATGCGATTACTCCGACATTTGTGAATCGATTTCGATGATTCTTTTTTGTTGGAAAGTGTTTTTTTTTTCTTATAATAATACCAAGTAATGGGACGAACACGTTGTGCTCCTGATGGTAAGCTACACACCTGCCCATAACAATTGTAGTGCCACTCAGACCTTTAAATCGCAAAGATCTGAGGGGCACTGCCACTGCGCCCGTCACCCTGAGACATAAATTGACAAGTCTCATGTGCCTGTAATTTCACCAGCACCCTTACCCTCTAAATCGGAACGTGGCGGCAGAAATATATAAGTGGCAGTACTCTTTTATAAGGAGCTCTACTGCTGCTATGACGGTTAAGGTAGCGGTTGTTGACCAGTCTCAAATTTCCACCCAGTATAATACATGCTCCATTACTTGACCTCGTCGTCACTTTCCGTCAGGTGAAATTGACGTCAAATGCGCATTTATTTAATCCATTAAAAAATCCTTTGATCAACAGTGTATGCCGTTTGTGGACATAGAAGTAATGAAGGAAATGCTACCAAAAATGCTGGAGCTCACTAAGTCTCCACAACTCGGCACTAAAGTCGCGTGTTCACACTTCATTATACTGGCCGCGCATTACTTGAGAGCAGACTTGGAGCCTGTAGCGGGGAAAATTATGACCAACTTACTGAACGGCACTTTTGACAGGAACTCTACCGTAAGAAAGAACTATGCTGAAGCGCTTGGACAAGTTTCTGCTTATGCTAAGGTTAGTTATAAAATCTAAGTTTGTCTGAATGATTTTCGACACATATAAATTCAACTCTATCCAGCTTAAAGAGTCCGCTGATTTTATAGTCTGTCTTTTTTGAAGACGGCGTAAAATGAAAGTTCAGCTAGTGATTGCAGTCGATAAATATTCATCGACTATCGACTGAATATTGGTCCCGCTTATGGAATAAATAGCCGAACTAGTTTCATTTGAATCATCATCGACCCATTATTCATCCAATTACTGAGCACAACTTTATTTGAATTGTCAATTTTTGTAAGTTCATATATACATATACTGCATCTAGAACTATGTTTATGAAAAATATAAAGAGGAGACATATTTTAAAGATTTTCATTTTAATTCGATATAGATAGTCAAATTCGGTTATTCTTGTTAAAATGTGTACGAATAAAAATTGATCTCGATACTAGTAGGCCGGCTGTCAAAATAAGAATAAACAAGGCAATAACGCATTTACTAATTTTTTAATGAAGAAAAAGTCATTTTCTAATGAAGAAAAAGTCATTTTCTAATGAAGAAAAAGTAATTTTCTAATGATTATTATATATTGTCGTAACATTCACAATTCTGTCATTTTTGACAAAATTTTATCTTTCACAATCTATTGATAAAACTGTCGACAACAACTACATAACTATTTAAAATTTTGTGAAACCCTACAAATGTCATTTTACTCTGTCTTTAAAAAAAAACAAACTATAGTACATTATGTGACGGTGCAAAGTGCAGCTGCTCGCAACTCGATGATATTAACGCCTATTTTAGTGCATTATAGAAATAATATTTATGATGTTAGTATACCGATGGAGGTCATCTTGTGGTACAGTGGGCTACTGCATCAAATATTTTGTATGAGCCCCCTAGCGCATGCAAAAAGAACTAACATTTTCTATACAATTATTTCAAAACACAGAGTGTATCATAAAGTTAAAATAATAATTATAAATTTGCGAAAAGAATTTACTTCTACTTTTACTCCATACAAAAAAATGTGGTAGTTAATTAGACATTTGTGTGGTGAACCAGTATTTTATGCGAATTATTTTTTTTTACTAATATTTGTTATCATCAATACAATCACCGACAAAATAAAGGTGGACTCGTTTTGTTACTTTCCGTTTATTAAAAAGCATTTTTCATCTTCAGCCGCAATCAGCAGAAAAACTGATGAAAAAGCTGATAAGTCTGTACGAGACAAAAGAAGACGATATATCGCGATCGGCCATCGCACTCGTGCTCAAGGCCGTGGCCAAAGCCAAGATTGAACATATTAAAGACAATGAGAATATACTTGCACCTGTCGTGTTTTTGGCTATGCACGCTCCTAAGGACGACGGTGAGTTTTTTTTACAAGTAAATACAGGGTCTCCCCCTTAAATGGTCTTACCATCAGGTGAGCACAGGCGTCTACCGCGTTACCCTCTAGGCGATAGCTGAAAATCAGTGCGTTGCTTTTGGGTAACACCCGCACTAAGCTATGGCCTGTTTGGCTTGCTGCAACACTCACAACTTACTTTTAAATAATATGTTGTTTATTATATATATTTATGTGATTTTATACCTTTTTGTTATTTTGTATGTTTTGTTTTGCGTTTTCTTGTCTTCTTTTTTTTCGTTACTTGTGTATGAAACACATATTATTGTATGTGCTTGTGGAAAGTCAATAAACGTATTCTATCTATCTATCTATCTACCTTTATTTCGACGATCGTCAACCGCCGCTAACCCCTCTTACGTAGTCGTTAGTAAAGCTCCTTGTGAAAGAGTTTATCTAGGGTAGTACTGGCACCTTACCTATTTCTGCCGCCAAGCAGTAATGTCAGCATTACTGTGTTCCGGTTTGGAAAGGTAAGGGTGCTGGTGAAATTTCAGGCACTTGGGACTTGTCAACTTATGTCTCAAGGTGACGGGTGCAGTAGCAGTGCCCCTCAGATCTTTGCGATTTAAAGCTCTGAGTTGCACTACAACTGTTATGGATAGGCATGTGGCTTACCATCAGGCGCATGACTTGTTCATCCCGTCACTTAATATTATAAAAAAAGAATTCCTCTTCTGAGGACCATTGTCTAGAAATGGATCAAAGCCCATTTATTATCAATTGCAATTTCTGAACTGTTCTTCTAAAACGTACTCACTGAATGGTCATTTATATTGAATTGTGTATTGTAGATTTGACGACGGTGGAAACATTCGAAGAAATCTGGACAGACATAAGTCCGGCACGCGAGAGTGGCATCAAGCAGCATTTGCCTGGCATCCGTGCGGAGATCGAATTGGCTCTCAGTTCTAGTAGTTGGACTAAGAAAATACAGGTAACAATACACGTACTACAGAATAAATAATATAATAATGTATTTTATAATTGTACAATTTCCTTTTTTCTGATGTATCTTTTGTTATTAGAGATCGAACAGGCATAGTGTATTTACATTATATTCAAGTAATACGCATTGAGAGATAATACCACCCCTTGAAATCCCAGAATGATTAAAAAAAAACTTAATAAAGAATTTAAAATAGTTATATGTTTACTTATACTCTAGCCAAATTTGATGTAGTGAACCAATGACGGCATGGGAAAAGAACATTTTTTTTTCAATCTCATTATTTAGGCATACTCTGTCCACTGTGTCTAATGTGAATTTAAATAGGTAAGTAGGCAATTAGATTATGTAGAAATAATACTTACCTAGCCAATTATTATAAAGTTTACAAAGTACTTATTGATACGAATAATTTTTGGATAAAATAAGTAGGATTTTATTACTATTTTAATAGTAGGTAATGGTAAATGAAAACAAACAAAATTGTAAGATTTAATTTTATATTAATTTACTAAATCGACCCCTCCGACGTAAAGTATCGTATGTCGAAATTGCCAAGTTTACAGAGGAGCCTTTTAAATATTCTGAATTCACTGAAATAAGCACAACACGTGACTTTAGCATTTCTCAGTTTTATTCGACAAAGCTCGCTACTCACATAGAGTATTATAAAATCCTAGATATCGGTTAGAGGATGTATTAGATGATCACTCTATTTGAGTAACGAGCTTTGCCGAATAAAACTGAGAACTTTAAAACGCTTCCCTGTAAACTTGGCAATTTCGACATACGATACTTTACGTAGGAGGGGTCGAAATATCTCATCCAGAATCTATTTCTGATTTATGTTATTTTTAAGTGATTAGAATTTGTTGATTTGTTGTCAATCATTCTACATACATTTAGAGCATACAACGATTACAAAACTTTTCTACTTTACCTACACTACGTACGTAGGAAAGTAATTGCTAGTTGCTTTAAATATAGGCCAAAATGCCATATAATTTCAGAGGGAGGTATTAACCCTTCTACGTGTGTTTCATCCCTGAAGTTTAGATGAATGTAGTCTAATAATAATCTTTGTTTATTATGCAATTTGGTAAAGAAAATAAAGCTGTAAATTAGAATCTTATGTAATACTAATAACAATCGACAAGTTTCAAAGGACACTTGATGTTTTCAGGCGGCAAATGCAATAAAGACGATATGCAAAGAATTGTCGTCAGGACTGGGCGACCAGAGAGAGCCTTTCTTAAGGGCATTGCTTGCTGCCGTGCACGGGAAGACATTTGACGGCAAACAATACGTTATCGAAGCGCTGGCGGAGATGTGCGCGTGAGTTTAACGAATTTTGCTACTGAAGTGTTTTTGTTCAATGAATTTAGTTAATTTCTCGTAGGGTTTTTAGAATTATCACATTGAAACTACCCAAGTGAGTCTCCTTTTCCCAGTGATCACTTCTTACCTTTCCGAGGCGTGACAGCGTATGTACGCCTAGTTCTCTACCATAACTATACAGTTACCATGCCACGCAGAGGTCTCAGGTTCGATTTCCGGGCCGCGTGAAATATTTGTAAGGCCTACATTTATTTATCTCGTGGGTTTGGGTGTAATTTGTGGTTGTCTGTGTGTGTCCATGGCACCCGAGACACAGCTTTTCCTACTGCGAGGCTAAAAAAAAAGTTCTGCATTCGACAAAACTTATTTCAATGATGCACCTGAATTCTGTAATGAATAACTTCATGATGTCACATTATTGATAACCCTATACTCTGACATGTAGGCATTGACATGCTGAACAGACGGGGGTTAAACTTGTCTAGTTATACATGTCTGTACCATTGCCGCCATTATTTTTTACAGAGTAAAAGATGGCGAACCACCTATTAATCCCAGCTTAGCTTCAGACTGTCTTGACGCTCTTCTAGTAGAGAGTCGCAAGCAAGAGATGGGCTACAAAAAACATGCTATTACAGCACTCGGACAGGCCCTCGCTGCTACAAACTGTGACCGATTCCAGCAGGTGTATGACATCGTCAAAGCGGTGTTGTCTAAGGTTAGTTTTATTACCTAATTGAATTACGCCTTATTCTAAAGCTTCTATCATCCTATTTAAGAGTCAGGCTTTTGTCGGTGTAGCCTCCTCTACTGCTCACTGTTCAACGTTCTTCTTTATTTGTTCACTTTACGCCATGCTTGGTTTTCATCTTTCTTTTTACTTCTATTTTCCCCTCGATTATAACTCTCACAGATTCGTTACTACGTAACAGATATCCAAACTTTTCTCATCTGTTCTCAATTGTCTTTTAAGGGAGAGAGAGCTCTAAAGAGATTTACCGTATTCGAGAAAGCTTTACCGGCAGTAAACTTGCGCAAACCATGAACGCGTTTGTATATGTTATCGGCAATGTATGTAAGCCGCTATTCTAAAGAATGCCTAGAACAGTTACGCAATGTATGAAATTTGTTAAATGTAGATGCACAGAGAAAAGTGATAATTGGAAGTGCATGTGTAGGAAATAAAGCTATTTTTCCGGATTTAAATCGCGTATATTTGTTTTTTCAAACAAACTAACGTTTCGGGCCCTTTACAGGTTCTATGGTCACGGTTGACTAGTAAAAAAGTAAAAATAGTTTTATTTCCTATGTGTAACAATCGCGAAAACCTAAGAACTCGATAAGTGCATGTGCGTTAAGAAGAATATTTATTAAGAACACGGCCAAGTGTCACAACAGTTCATCTTGCAAGAATAAGTAGCTAATTAGAAGAATTGGTAATTAAATTACAAATGATATTTGTTTAAGAAAATCCCTATTTTTTTCGAACAAAATATTATATTCTAGTTGCGACAAACACTGATACACTAAATAATATAACGTGCACCATATACGTGTTTGTGTAAGAAAACACGTTGCCTCCCATAAATCATTTGCGCGTGGCACAGTTTTCCCTTAAAAATCACGTAACTTAAACTGTATAACATTCAAAAAGACTCGGTTTGGGTATGGCTCCGGCTGAGAAGGAAGTCCAAGACCACCTGCATAGGAACCAACTGCTTACTCATTTAGGATATTACTGCTTCGAATACGTAACCGTCGACTCACTATTTCATTTAACTATTTGATACTGTAATTCCTGTGATTAAAAAATATTGGTTTCTGTTCGGTCTTTAGCCTCAAATCCACGTTTATTTTTCAGGACGAATTGTCCGTTAACAAAGATTCCGATGAAGAAGACAATGAAGGCGCCCGGCTGAGGAGAGAACAATTGACGTCACTAAAAGAAGCTGCATACGAGTTATTAGGCAAAGCGTGGCCTAAAGATCCTATTACGCAAGGTAATTTTTTTTTCTTACTATACCTATTAACGAAGTTCGGGGATTATGAAAAAAATTTGAGCGATTTGTTATTTTTAAGGTAAACAAACTGTGTTTTAGGGAAGTATTGGTGTCGATTCGTGTCAACATAAACCGAAATTAGAGTTAGGGCGCGTTCCCATTATGTCGTAACATTTTATTTATCGTTGGACGACTGTCGTGTCTAGTCTGTTCCCATATAACGACTATCTGTCGGGATTGTGCCGTGGGGGTTTATTTTGACGTTGAACGACTGTCGTGTTTAGCTGACGACAATTTATCGGTTGACAGCAGCCGCCTTGTCCTATGCACGACAGAATAGTTCGAAACTGCGATTATCTGTCGTAACATTTTTATAGCTCTTCCCATTGTCACGGCAGTCTGTCGTCGTAATGTCAAAAAAGTCGTGAACGAGAGTTAGTCATATTGTTCTATGTGTGAACAACTACATTTAAATATACAAGCCACGACATTTTCATACAATCAATACGTCACGACATAATGGGAATGTACTCGAAGTCTGTCTGACACTTTCGTCAACAGCAAATACAAATTTCTGTTCTTATGTTAATGACGTCGGGAGAGACATGCACATATTTAAATTTGTTTGCTTTTGCACGAAGCGATAGATTTTGCACATCACACTAACATTTGAAAGCTTGGTATAGACTTCTTAAAAAAATGATAATCATCGCTACCGAGACAGATTGATGCTTTCCACTTGATTATACCCAGGCAGTCACTGCAAAGTTGTACTTCATTTATCTGTAGAATAATTCTGAAGCGTGTTGGTGATATCATAAAATCGACATCATATTATAGAACATAACAATGTTAACAAGTGAATAATGGACACGGAGCCGACGCGTACTGGCAAGTGTCGTCTAACCGTTTGGTGGCGTGACCCAGGCACATCGAGTATATAACCAGAAATAGAGGCAAAATGTAATTTAATTTGTTTGAAAACTATTCTGCCATATCATTACTGTGACAACTGCGCTCCGATTGGCTAGTCCGAGTTCGAAACAATTGATGGGTGTCGTCAATTGTTTCACTTCAAATCGACCAGTTAACTTGAGCTTTGCTATAATGGACGAAAATTGCAAAATTACATATATAATATTTAATTACCGATGAAATTTGATTCCGTTTGTTTTGTAATTAGATGTTTTGCTGTTTTTCCCACACCACCGAATAGAACAGCACGGCATTGTTAGTGACATTATCTTTATTACAATAAATACAGAATATTTTTTGGAATATACGGAGACGTACACACAGGTCAGTAGTTGGCCTGTCTTATATTTCAGTGCAAACGAGAGTTGATATTTATAAGTTACCAGGAATGTATGGTCCTAATTTCGTCTCTGTTTCTGGTTATATACTCGATGCCCAGGTATTTTTAATGATCAACTTTCTGTTTACTGTGACTGAGTTTAACACATAAAATTTTACTTACAGAGAAATACCAAGATGTATTCTTCGAGCATTGTGTGCGATCTTTCCCTGTGAGCTCGCGATCGACTCAACTCGCGATTTTAGCATCCATTGCGCGCGTTCTCGAGAGACTGTCTGTATTGAGTGCCGAAGGAGAACCGATGGAAATGGACAACTTGGCGGTTACTGGCAGAGATAAAGCCTTAACCACCGTCATTGGACACGTTGCAAATATAATTGATTATACGCTTAGTAAGTGATGGTGATATGCAATAATGATAGTAGTACATTACTATTATATTAAAAACTTATGAAAATATGTTTTTTTTTCACAGAAAACAGCAATCAAGTAAGGCACAGAAGGGACGCACTTAATATTTTAGAAATAGTCATAAAGCATTTAAAAGGTAAAATTATTTTTTGTTTTTTGAATAAAATTTTCCGCGGTATAGTCAACAGCACATCAAGCTATTGTTTTGTTGTCAAGTTTCTCCCAAAGCCTGAGCACATCTTACTTAAATAACCATCACAATTGTTTTATAACTTTATTTAAATATTAAATTATTAAACACTGAAGTTATAGAAGTATTTGTTTTGAAAGTAATTGTATTAATTTTAAGAGGCCACGGCGAGTAAAGAGGGTTGTAAGATCTTAGGCGGGGAACTAAAAGGTGTCTAGTCAAGCTATTTGGTGCATAAAGAAAAAACGGGTTCAAGTTCTGTTTTCCAGCGCTTTTCCCCTGAGTCTTAATACTAGACACTTTTGTACGAATATCGCCTCCAGTGCAACGGAACAAGATTCGTCAATGTGTGGTTTGATTTGCTGCCGTCTGTACAAAAATGCAAATGAAAATGTGGTGGGGTTGATTTTGTTTAGAACTCGGTGTAGGCATAACCACCCATACTTATATATTTTGAGAGAAATATGGTATGGCCTACGGTCGGCAATGCATTTGCAATATTAAATATATGTCTATAGGTGGTGGGGAATTTCCATCAGGTGGATCATCTGTATATTAGAAAAAAGGAACTAATTGGACTATGCCGTGGGTTGATTCAGGCTTGTGAATAATTCAATGTCAATTTTCAGCTTTGAACAAAACAGACGAACTCGAGAAGTTACGTTTAATCTACCAGACGTACGCACCAGATCTGTCAAGAGATGCGTCTCATGAACTTAGAACAAAAGTGGATGCCATTAAAGTTTATTTTAAATAAGCTCAACATTGGCTTGCAATGTATTATTTATTTACTTGGTGTAATAAATACATTTGACTTTATGTGGGTGTTTTATTTCAAATTGTAGTAGATTATGTGTACTAATTACCTAATCATGATATAAATTTATAGAAAAGGGTTTTCGTGCAGTTTTGTAAATATAGCAGTGAGACGAATACATAACGCACTCAAGGACATACTCATAGCCCCATACTAGGAAAAGAAACCCTGTATCCCGAGTGCCATGGACACACATATAGACAACCACAAATTTTACCTAAATTCTCGAGTGAAATAAATGTACACCATACAACAATTTCTCCCGGCCCAGGAATCGAACCCGAGACCTCTGCGCGGCAGACCAGGATGACGAACGTTCGGCGACGAAGGTAGTTACATGTATTTGTACACTTGTCTTGTATACCGTGTATACTTAATTGTTAATGCATTACATATGTCGAGAGATGATTCCATTCCTCTATGAATGTTAGGCCCTCTTCCAAGGTGATATAACGATTTGATAATAACACAGTAAAATAGTGAGTGGTTCTAATCAGTTTTAACAATTACACAGATTAAATACACACTATGCTTTAGATTCAAAAAGATAAAAACGCGGAGATCCTAGTGACGACGTTACGTAGCGCCGAATGTGTCCAATCTCTTCCCTCGCCTCTCGCCACCCACATTCCGTCCCGACAACACAACGTTCCTAAATTATTGTCAGCCGCGTAAGGCCATCTCTGATTTGGCAACTGCCTGACGTTTATAGAAGACTTCTGGGTTTAGACAGAAAAACACAAATAAAACAACAAACATTTATTATCACAATTGTATAATGCACCACATTAAATAAATCTATGGAATGGAAACATAATATATTATCATTTGAACGTAGATGATAAGCTTTATAAAAATATATCGTGGGAAATTATATAAACAATATAAAAATTCGTACACATAAAATGTTATGTAATTACAGTACAACTATTTTATTCGTACCCTTGTATGATAAAGCCACGTGTGATACGTTAAAAGTTATTTTATCACACAAAAGTGATAAAACGAATAGAAGTCCATAGTCATAAAATAACAGTAACAAATTATGTACATGTGAAATTTTAAATTTTTATAACTGTCCATTTAAGCATAAAAACTTATATAATATAATTTTGTTGTTAGAATCTTTAAACTATTCAAATGTGGCCTTTACTACATTAAAGGTGCGATATTTTTAGGTAATGTCCGGATTACCGAATGCATTCGAATACAAATATCCTTGTTTAGGAATTATTAGATTTATAATCGCTTCTTGCTTGTGGACCACCTATCTGGTTTTCCTCAGTGGACCACGAGCAATTATTTCTTCCCGCAGCTCACCTAGGAATTTTCCTTTTCTCGTGAGTCACCTTGTTGTTAAAAGTCCTTAACATTTCAACTGCAAAGAGATTCATATCTCTTGATGATGACCTAAATAAAAACAAGAAGATTCAGTGGCAACAATTTGACGCATTCGTGGTCGAGTGTCTTGTACGCCGATTTTCATCATGTCGATGTAGAAAAAATAACTTTTCTATGTTGTCTCAGGTTTCAGCGTATGTGGTGCCGTCGTTGTTTCCCTTTTTGCAAAACACAAACGCTTTAGTTGTCTAATATTTATTTATTAACATCTATAATAATTTGAATTCAGAACTACGTACTTTATTGTGTTTGTTTCGATTTCCATGTGAATAGTTCACATGGAAATCGAAACAAAATAGAGCTGTAAAAATTATTTAATAATAACAAAGCAATTTAACAAAACTATAAGCAATTTAACAAAAATATAACCGAAATGAAGAGCAGTAGCTACTCTTATGTATTTCTAAGTCGATTGATGAGTGCGTCTGCACTAAGTGAAAAGGGCAACTGATAGAAATCCGACGACAGCCCAAACACAAAGATTGCCGATATAAAGAAAATAGTTGTACTGTACATTATTATAAAACAAACACAATTTTAAAACTCTGATTTTCCTATTCTATACCTTACCTCAATAGGTAAGGTATAGAATTAGTCATTTCGTAAAATAGTCGTCTGTTGTGTCCAAAACTGCTGTATCAATTAGAATGATATTATAGTATTAGTTACATAATATTTTTTGAACTTCTAGTGCCCGAGCAGAACTAAACAGTTGCAATAACAGGTAAGTTTTCTTCATGACATTTAGTAACAGTATTTACTGTTATTGATTCTACGCTTCATATAATAATGTGCGCCAATTCAGTTTTGATAAGTTATAAACATGTTTCTTTAATAAGTTATTAAAATTAATCGTAAGATATATGCACATTATGTCTACGTTATCAACAATAGCTTTTGTACATTATTTAATCTTAACCGTTTATATACTTTATTGTGTGGCCATATGCAGAAAAGAATGATGTAATCGTACATACATTATACTCTTCTAAGAAAAATCTTTCGAACACAAATTACTTCAGAATATTCTATTTGATGTTTATGTATTAGAGCTATAAATAATTAATTTTGCACAATGTTTTCTGCTGTTTTTTTTAATAAATCTTTCATTTACTTTAAGAACCATCATAGAGATATTGTATTTAATATAGTATATAATACTTAAACAAAAAGCAAAATATTACATGGGCATTTCGTCAGTGTTTTGTAGAAAGGGCGAAAGTGCCATTTCGAAAAATGTTTCCAGGTATTACTTTTTCACGATTGTTTTAAAATATTTACGTCCTGTTTTAAATTCAATTTTAAAACTTAACTTAATTAAAACCTTTAAATTGAATTTAAACGGGACGTAAATTTAAAACAGTCGTTAAAACCTAAAACGTGCTCCCCTAATATTTTTTCGAAATGGCGCTTTCGACCTTTCTATAAAATAACGACGATTGTAGAAACATTAATTTATAACATTAATTTATCTCGCTTGTGGTATTAGATATGATAGTCTGTATTGTTAATAATTCTGTACTATTTCGTTATTACATGATTATGTAAACTATTAATTATTATTTTCAATAAAAAACAAAAGCATTAAATACGTAAAAACTAGCGCTTTAAAGCTACGTCTATGCACAATAGTTAAATATTAAAGTCAATTGCACGGCCGCTAGGAATATAAACAGTACACTAAATCAGTAAGCGAAATTACAGTATTTATAAATTCACTAAAGTCGCGAGGTCTTGTGAAAAAAAGCAGAAAATTCTCCACGGTCCCTGTCGTAAATTACAGGTAATTAGAAATAAAAATGCGTTTATTATGTGGAAACCAGTAAGAAGAGTGAAACTACGTTTATTTACACCATGTTTAATTATGTACGCTTTTTTGTACAAGAGTTAACATAATCTCTTCCTCGCATATTTTGATGTAATACGATAGAAAGCAGTGCCGTCCGGACGGTCAAAGCACTTATTAAATTTTTAAGAGATTGTCTTGGTTCCTCTATCTTTTATCTACACAAAAAAAAAAACTATTTTCCACGCTATTATACATCATCAAATAGACCTTTAGGTGGCATAGTCATTTTGTCTCTTCTACCCTCAAAATCTGTTCTGATCGAAGGTAGGGTGCTCTCACCAAATCGTTGGTCTAGGTCGTCCTCCAGCGTTTGGTTATAGGGTAATTCCGCCCGTTGGTAGCCGGCGGCGTTTGCGTGTGAACGCTCTGGGCTTGGGGTGACGTAGTAATCTGAGTCGACGTCGTTCAGGAGCCCGGTGCGGGCTGGAAAGTGATACACATGCACAATAACTGTAGGTAGGATGGTAATGGGGTGTTGTGAGTTTGTTGAAATACGATTTCTTTTTAATATAGACATAACAGGCCTTTTATTAGACGATTGACGATTAGACGCTTGGTATCTTTATTTTAAAATCCCATTTTTTTTAATTTAACGTCTATTTTGGCGTACAGCTTTAGAGATCGTGATAAAGTTCCATAATAATCACTTATCGTATTTCAACAAATAAAACAGAAGAATAGAAGGAATTAGTTATAGAAGTGCAAGAATGACATGAATTGTGCTACACAATAATATCATTATTATGTAAATTTTATGAAATGTAGATGTTTTTCATCGGAGTAAAAAGACAGGTGTTTAGTAAACCCGCCTCTATGGGCCAAGTTACTTTGCCGGAGAAAATCGTCAGGCATTTTGTGTTCTATTCTAAGCAAGTACATATGTAAATATTTTGTGTTAGTATATTTTATAATATTTTATGCCTTGATAAGTTTGGCAATGTTGTCAATGAAGTCAAGGCCTACCTAAACTTAAGTTGTACTTCAAAACGAACGACTTATGTTCTACCACTTTAAAACATTCGTGAAAATAATATGCCCATATACAAATCTTGGGATCCTCAAGGTATCAAAAATATCGCATTCTCAATAACAAAAGAACGAAATTGTACAAGTGACATTTTTGGGAAACTGTCAATACAGTATAAAAAAGTAACGCAGGTGTGGCACCAACCAAATAAGCCATCTGGCTGGTATCATTCACTTGAAGAGTCTACGAAAGTGTGACGTCGCAGTATATTGGGCGGAGATGGCTCAATGAAACAACTTGAAAATTATTATTGTACAGGAAATATCACGGAGAAAGTGCAATGGAATTGCAAGATTTAATTCCGCCTACCCTTTTCTATCGCCGGGGGACTAGACATAGGGCTTGGATATTCCAAGGATTCGCACGAAGCGTTGCGATTCCACATTTATGTGGCGAACGGCTGTAGAGAGTAGTTCCCTGGCTGCAGAATTACCCTCTTAACGTTATAAGTTAAAGAGTGAATAGGTTTATTTAGATGTGCATGCTCCATCGCCGACCTTATCGTCATTTACCATCAGGTGCGATGGAGGTCATATGAGAATTTATATGTTATGTAAAAAACAATAACTTTTTTACGATTAAATAGGAAACTAAAGCCTGATTTACATTTGTCTGACGTGTCGTGTCGTAACGCGCCAGAACGGTATCTGTTTCATACATTTAATATGGTTAGCTTTATATTAGTGTCACAATGTGACGTGACCTGTCTTATTCGCGGGTACAATTTTATACGCATTTTTTTATTTCTTTTATCAGTTTTCAAAAAATGTTACTTTTCGAATTTGTCACATCACTATTTATAAAAGTCCTAGAACACACGTTGTCAGTTATAATGTCCCGAATTTTGCCCCCTTATGTTTTAGTGCAAACCTCATAGACAGCCTGTACACAAATTATCGTATTACCTCCGTCGTCTCTCTGCGCGCGGTAGTTGGAGTATCGCTCGCTGTAGTCGCGCCGCCGCATCATACTCTCTTCGGCGCGTTGACGTTTTCGTTTCTCTGCGTAACGGCAAACAAATTGTTTTAAACATATACAGAACACACTGAAAGTTGGCAAAATCATAAGATTTTTATTGACAGAAGTTCAACTAGAATCATATCACACAGATCAACTAGGTTTTTTGTTTATTTTTCATCTGTGTAGTGTATGCGATTTGACATACCTACACACTGTATGCGTGGGTACACCCAATCAGTATAACGAGTCGTTGGCGAGAGTAACATCTGACATAATCATTAGTACTCTTGAACAATAAATCAGTGCTAACATTTCGTTTTTTTACAATCTAATGGTAAATATTAAAAAAAAATAGTGTACCCTCCAGTATTTATTTATTTTAATCTTGTCTTGGTTGCCTGAATGAGATTGCTACTTGGGAATGAGGCTTTCCGTATTGTCTTTGAAAATTTCTCTATTTATTTTTGGGTGTATTAGATTATATATTTGTTATATTGCATTGTATTTTTATAAATTAACTGTTAAGGAAATTATAGTAAGTTATACTTCAGTTTTTTTAAAAGCTAATTGTTCTATTCTAACCTATTTGCTACGGAATGGAAGGAGACTGTCATTATAGTTGTTTAAAAAAGGCTGTAAGAAAAAGGTGCAATAATATTTTGGGAAATTAAATTAGACCCCTAAAGTCAGAAATAAAAAGAAATACAAGGCTACACAAAATGTAAAGCAATTACAAAACACGAAATACATTTCAGGATAATTTGTTCCAATATCTAAGAAAATATATCGAACTTTCATTATGCTAAAGCATTATTGCACCTTTTTGTTACGTGGGAAGAATTGTCTTCATACTGCTTTATACTACATATTATGTATTCTATGGGAAATACCTCGTTTGATAATCTCCCTTCCTTCATCCACCAAATCGGTGGTCAATTCGTCGTCGCCAACGAACTGCTGGAAGCCGCATAGCGAAAGGAGCCGGCTGCCTAATGATAGATACGTGGCCACGCACAGAAACACCACCAGCATTGGGAAGTATATGTTGAATCCTTCCGCTATTATGCCCAAGACGTCCATGTGGCCCATCACCTTTAGAAATAATGTGCTTTGAAATTGTGACGTAAGAACACAAAAACAGGACTCTACTATGGCGAACTCCAAAGGATAATTATTATATTAGTAATATCCAATAAAGCAAATTACTGAAATAGAGAAGTTCTACTTTTGGGAACTAAATTAGAAAGTATTATTTGGCGCTTAACAATAACGACTAAATATTGTGGGGTATGTTTTCAAGCTCCTTAAACTCCAATAAAGTGTATTGTCGTATCGTATATGAACCTTAACCTCAACCTACGGTGGGAGAAAACTCTGCCTGCTGCGCTTGGTCGAGTGCAAGCAGCGGCGGTCAACGTCTCAGGCTTACGCAAGCTAAGTCTTCAGCCTCGCTGTCTTTTTGAAAAACGGCATATTAAATATTCACCCCAATTAAGATTAAGGATCCATTTGGCAGAACCGGTGTAATTTGTTTTTCGGCAGCGATTTTGAATCTACCATCTTGTTTTTTTGATACAGGCTATCTACCCCCATACGACATTCTTTTAAGCAACCCTTACCTATACCATGGATTAATAACACAAGGAGTGCTAATCGCGATACAAGACAACGTAGTCTAAGAACTAAGACTTTGAAATTTGTATGACACATTTGGTTTATTTAAATTTAGTATATTTTTTATTCAGTAGAAATAGGCCAAGCTTTATCTAGTAAAATGGCATAGGCATCTCCTCCAAGCTTCCCAGGTGTTTCAGGCCATTGATAACCATTTTAAATTATCCAGGTCAGTCAGGTTATTTCGAATTTTCCTCCATTCTTTGGAATGCATCCGCCTGTTTTCCAGGTATAAGTATCTTTTTTCCACCATATTGGGTGAGGATCTATATATTTATCAGAGTCAGTGAGACGATAGGATGCAACGGTGGTTTCCGCAACTCGATGTCGTAGCGCCTATTATGCGTGTGGCAGTGAGAATTTATAGTTTTATAAATATAGGAATGTATTTGTAATGGTGAAATAGGAGTTTTAGTATTTTTTCCTTTCAAGCAATGACATGTCTAGCAATGGAAGTCCAACGGCTGAAATGATGAAGTAATAATATATCAAGACAGCAGAAAACCATAAATCATTGTGGAGTACCTGAGTATAGTGTGTCTCCATAACATGTTCCTTGATAACATGCGAGTCCATATGTATCAAACTCAAAAAGTTTAGACACATAGCGGGCGTGAGCCTGGACACCATCATACCGGAGAAAATGAGACTGTACTCATTTGTTTGATGGTGAGGCGCAAGGTAGTATAGATTAAGTAGTCTGATTTTTAAGACTGTTGAGTATGCGCAGTAGAACATATATACGATTATAAGGGTTGATATGGTCTGAAAAAATAAATAAATTATAATGTTTAAAACATCTTTAGATACGATTTGTATATACTATGTATATTAAAAAAATACATCTCAGTCAATTCCACGTAGAGTAGAAGAACGCCCCTTTTTTTAAAGAGATTAAAAATATTTATCCCCATAGGATTTTTTTATGATACCTAGTGACGGCACGAACAAGCCGTGGGCCTGGTGGTAAGCGACACGCCTGTCCATAACAGTTGTAGTACCACTCAGAGCTTTAAATCAGTATCTCGCTCTTTATGTCGCTCTCGCGCAAGTCGCGCCCTATTGTGCTAGCCCTACTGCAATGTTTGTATGCCTAATGTATGGCCAGATACAGTGAAACTGTACTTTGTTACATGTCAACTTCTATACAACCAGTGCTAGTAAAATTTTATTTCTCAAAAATTCATTCACTTAAACGAGAAACGTAAATGTAAGTAAGTAGCGTTATGTAAGCAATAAACATATTACGCCGCATGATAGGCGCCAAATGCGTAAAATCTAAGAAATTCAAATATGTAAATTTCTCTAAGAGGTGGATAGATAATATACTGAGAGAGAGTATTATGCTTTCGCAACATAACATACTATGTTCGCGAACATAATACTTACTTTCTAGGTAAACAATTAGATTACTGATTGAATATTGATCTAAAAAGCAATTATGTTATTTGTTGTATTATAAGAGATACGCGTACATACTTAAATAGGTAAAGCTTTTACCACAATAGCAGCATAGTTATAACTCTCTCCAGCGGCAATGACGATCATAGCAAAAAAGGAGAGCACTGGTTTCTTGCTGAAGAATGTCATCTCGGACCACACCACCATAATGGACAAAATTCCCGTGACTACAGCCAGTGCTTTCAGGAAATACTGCTTCATGAAACACTCCCAGTACCATTCTGTAATAAGGACAACGGGTGAAGAAAGTTTCATATCCAAGAATGTTCCCATCAAGATTTCCTAAGGCTTAATTTACATCGCCGCGGAACGGAATGGAAGCGAGGTTTTGTAACCGTAGCATTATGAACAATATGTCAATTGTGTAATGTACAAACTAGATACGAGCCAAAAAACGGTCGCGTGTCGTCCGGAGAATTCTCGCGCAGTGTCTACCATTATGTTACGTACAATTTCGTTACAAAAATACGCTTCCATTCCTTTCCGAGGAACTGTAAATTTCTAGAATACATTTCTTTTTGAAGAATAGTGACCTTACTAAATTTAAAAAATATTGCAAAGCTACTGTTAATTTCATTTTTTTATGATACCAATTGAAAGTAAAAGCATAATGGCGTCTTACCAACAATAGGAGGGTACAATATCCTCTGTAACCTTGGTCTTGGAGTATGGAAGGTGTGCTGGAAGCGTCTGTCGGGCGAACGCAGGTTCGATGCAATATCCTCGAGGTGAAATATTCGCTCCAGCATTAGGCCCCATTGCGTTTCTGTTCTTTGTAGCACGTGAAGGGCTTTAATTGTCTGTGTAGTAAGAAAGCTGGTTGATTGTTTAATTATTTCAAACGATTTGGCTTCTTCATAATTTCTGAGTTGGCACTTAATATGAATGTTGTTGTAAAGATTAGGTTTGTTTGAAAGTTATCTACAATAGTGCATTTATTATTTTTATGTGTTTCATTATATTTAATTTATTATTTATTTTAATCAGAATTTTTGTTCAACTAAAATATTCGAAAAGTTAATAACATTTTTCGTTCTGATTGTTGTTCTATATTTGTATCAATAATAATAACAATCTAGTGGAGTATTTTCACTAAAAATAGATGAATATGATTGTAGTAAAAATATCATTTTTTTCAATAAAAATAAATATTGATTTTTCAATTAGTGAGAGTGAGAGATGTTAGAAAGTCTTTCATGAATAAAAAATTAGAGCTTTACCTTTTTATGTAAATTTACAAGAGACTTCATGGAGGGTGAGGTTGGCCTTTCTGGTGGTGCACGGGAGTTCAATCGGTCTCGCAACTGCACAGGCAATTTCTGCACTATCGTCTCTACGTGCCGATGAAGCGAATGGCCAGGGCCTACGGCAGCTGTCACTGCATTTAGACTCTGTGGACACAATTACAAAAAAACTAAATAACAATGAAATAATGTCAACATAACGAGTGGCCCATAGCCCTTTAACAACGCTAATAATGGAGCTATAAAAGAATCAAATTATACTAGTAATTATACATCAAAGTGAAGGGAGGAGCTATGTTTAGGGTTAAGGTAAGATACATTCATTGTTGGTGAACGACTGTTTGTTCATACAAAAAACCCGATTAACATGAAATGGCAGCAATCAATAGCATTATTATTTAGAGATGACTCTTCAATGCAAAATCCTATTGGTGGCTGGAATACATCTCTTTAGCTGTTCAAGGTTCCGTCACCACTCACTGTCACACTTGTTGACACGTTCTGCATTTCGCTTCGGCAATTCGAGCCAATGCAAAACGCACGTCTTTTTCGCTCTTACAACATGAAGCTTTAAAATAAGTGTGGTGTCAACCTATAATAAAACTTACTTACTTCCAAAATATCATCAACAGTTTCTTCAGCTTCACATTTGTCAGTGCTCAACTTCGCAATTTTGAAGTAACTATAAGTCAAAGTATAATTCTTCTTTGAATTATTCCAATTGTTCCTTGGTACCTCGACCAATGCATATCCAAGTAGTAGAATCAGTAGGAAAAGACCCCACGTATTAGATGCTGAGGAAGCAATAGCTTTTATTTGCGAACTGTCAAAGGGTATTCCAGGTTTCAAAGCAAGGTATATGAGCAGTATGCCACATATTAACAAGTATGAACCGTAGTAAATTGCATTGTCAACAAGAGCAGATTTGAGTTTGCCTTTGACAGTGAAGTCTCCTGCTTTGCTGTATGATTGCATCATGGGCATTATGAGCCTGGAAAACGGAAATGTATGTTGAGTATTGAATTTGTATTGCATTAATGTTGGCACTAGAATTACTTATAGTATCTACATATTTTTATATGATTCCAAGTATTTCTTTGCAATTCTATCTTGTCAATCATAGGCCTCTTCAGAATAGACATTTTTGCCATTAGGTAAAGGTAAGCAATTGCTGTACATCACTAATACACATCTCAGATAGATGCTGTAGCTGTTTCTTAGATTTACTTTTTGCTGTAACCTGTGATCTCGAAACAATTTGTCACATTCATAATAACTATAAATCAAAATAGCAAACAACAAAGTATTTAAGTCCTAGACTTAAACGTACGTATTTCAAGGTGACTGATAAGAAATTAATGAAGTGTAGTTCCACTGATTAAATGAAATGAAACTCTTTAAAGAAATGTTGTTGAATAAAGTATGAAAGAAGCAATTTTGATGTATATGTATGAAATAAAGAAATTATTATTATTATTGTGACTTATTGATACAAAGTAGACAATACAAAATAGGTTAGATATAGATGGAGTGGGGTTCGCTGTTTAAACTGGATAAACTATAGATTTATCTAATCTTGTTGATAAAAGTAATGATAGGGAAACCAAATTTGAAATGAATCTGTATACACATATTTATGGCACGTAATTTGTTTATTTAGGAGTTATTGACGCTAGGTATATTCTTATTGCGTGTAATTAGGGCACCTTGTAAATAAGGGAAAATTTTAGTTAAGGATAGTCATCCTTTCACAAGTTTAGTCAATCTTTCACAATAATATTAATGTAGTATTTTTAATTTGTTACATTTCTTTATACTGACATAAAAAATGGTATACAGTATGTATTTAATAAAATATTGGACCACTTAATTTTTTTAATGATAATGTTTGTATATTATAACAATAAACAGTAAGCGCCCAGTTACACAAGGAGAAAAATTTCGCGCGGCCGCCTGCGACCACGCCTTCGTGTACATTAATGGCGAATCTGAAATCTATTTACTAGGCAACAACATTTAAATTCCTCTGAATAATACAACCGCGCGAGCCGCCGCGTAGACCTAATTCAAGCCAAACTCGCCCGCGTGCCCAGGACGCTCATTTAAGTTAAAACCTAAAAGCTAAAAAAATAGAGCGTATTTTGCCATGACAGTTAGACGCACGCGGTTGCTGCGCGGATTCCGCTCGGCGATCGCGCGGGTTGAGCGCGGTGAAATTAATGTCGAATAAATACACCTTTAGATTGTTACTAAAGTTAGGTTACTGCTACTTATAGATACTTAGAATAGTGTGGAAGGTTCTTTACTATTGCAAATGTTTAGTCAGCTATGGAACATGTCATGTGGCATCTAAAGTCTCCTGGGCCAAGTATAATAAATTAATATAGAATAAAAAAAGGAAAAGAAATATTCTTAATTATGATAAGGTTATTTATACAATAATTTTTCTTAAAAAAATTATAAAGGTTAAAAATAATCAGTCAGTTAAAAAAACTCTATTCAACAATTAAAAGTTTAGTGATTAATAAATTCATTATTCTTTGGGTTTTTATTAAGATTTAAATGTATTTGTTATGTTCTCTTATGCTAATTGCGTTTTCAGTAGCGTTTATTCCAACCTACTTCAAGTGTCAGCAGCAGATACTAACTGTTGATAGCTGCACAATATACTTTTAAAATAAGCTTACCACGTAAGACACTGTGAGGTCCAGTAAAGCACTCTCCATAGGTTCCTCAAAATCTCATCTGGTATGAAAACAGCAGGTTGCTGGCATTTTGGACCTAGCGGTGTGAGTGGTGTAGAGTCATTAGCTGTCGCTGACAGGGTTGCATTTTGACATTGGCGATATACCGTCTGCAAACAAAGAACAAATTATACATTTCAAAGTATTTTTATATTCGCTATATGCTTTTGAAATTAATAAATAACATGTACTTTATATTAATTTTCTTGTCCTTTACAATTTGACTTATCTATAGAACAAAGACCTAGGTGCAAGTTTACTTATTCACAGGACATTGTACATTTCGTTAGTTGTTCGATTTTATATTTCCGAAACATGTATCGATTAGTCTTATTTTGAATAAAGAGATTATGTATTTATCCTATTTTTGCTGTATAATCACATTGGACTTTGTTCTTTGGATGAGTTAAATTACTTTCCCTATAGCAATAAATGAAACAGTGTGTGTAAATTATAGACATTTTATGATATAAAATACAACATTCAACCCTTGACATTTAAATGTGCATTTTGAAAAGTATTACCACTGCTAAATAGAATCATTTCGTATTAACTCTAATATAGGTTCTAAGAACCCACTTGGCGACAAATCAGAGAAGAGGTTTTAGGTTTACTTCTTTTGTTTACATAAAATATGGTGATAGTTTTATTTCATTCTCTTTTATGGTGTTTCCTGGGCAAAAAAATATTAGGTACTATGAGATACTTTGGTCTTAAATGTTTATTATTAATGTAGTTATATGTCATATTATTAATTGTCGACATTGGATGTTTCACATATGATCTCCGGGAGGACTATTTTGGGAAATTAACTTTTCCAAACTGGTTCTAATTTGGGTATTCTAGGTAGTGTCCCATAGTGTATTCTGTTGTTCTGATACTCATAGCACAGGGAATTTCCTATGTAAAGATCTAAGAATTTTGGTGTGGTAGCACATTATTATAGTTTAGATTTTGTTTAAGGTTTGTGGGCGTCTCATCATTGGTTGATCTATTATTATCACTAGTAATTACAAAGCTGAGTAAAGGTCAATAGCATTAGAGACTTGGAGGATTCTCTTGGATTCCACTGTTTCGATCTCCTATGCTAGAGTATATTAAAAAATATTCAAATTCAATTCAAATTCTTTATGCATATCATGTTATACAGTTAACAGCATGTTATGCCACACACTTTTCTTCGATTGTGGCCTCCAGAGCAACGTAACAAGATCCGATAATGTGTAGCTTGATATGCTGCCACTTGTAGTTGTTAAAATATTGTTATGAACCAACATTTTAACCAGCCCAGAAAGGGCGCTGCAATCTTAAAAATTAAATTTACTTATTTACATCTGGTAGAGGTTTGTGCCTTCCCACCATTGGGTACTGTGTTTTTTATGACATCCTATGATGGGATAAACAAATCATATGCCTGGTGGTAAGCAACAAGCCTGTTAATTTAAATGGCAAAAAATCAAGGGGCACTGCCACTGCACCCATCACCCTGACAAATAAGTTGGCAAGTCCATTGTGCCTGTAATTTTACAAGCACCCTTACCCGTCAAAACCAGAATGCAGTTATATTAATAATGCACACACTCAACATAGCCCCGCACTAGGGAAACCCTGTGTCGCAGGTGCCATGGACACACACATAGACAACCACAAACTACATCCAAACTTACGAGAGAAATAAATATAGGCCATACAAATATTTCTCCCGGCCCGGGAATCGAACCTGGGACCTCTGCTTGTGTGCACCTCATGGCAACACATATTATATACATCACGGGAACAATTGTTATTACTATTGAACAATCATATTGATCATCAAGTTTGCAATTTACCGATTCATTTAGCACTGTAAAAATTTAAAGTGAATATGACTCACCGAAGTTACATCCAAAGGCAGGACAAACATAATAACAAATGAGAAATACCATGCTGTTAGCACAGACACAGTCACTATTATGTGGTTCCTGTAGCAATCTCCATAACGGTATAGCAATGTCGCCGCCAAGACGAACGCTGATATGATCTCAATAACAAATAATGTGAGAGCCATCCTGTGTCCCTCAATTTGTATTCACCAATTAAGTTTTAGCGGGTTTACTGGTAGTTTTCTGCCTTTCTCTCCACACTCGCGAAGCTTCGTGCTGCAACTGTTCGAAACGCAACTGCGTCGTATTCTTCAAAGGCAATAGTCTCGGACGCTCAATCTCGTACTCCGATGGGCATTCTTCGTAGAACAACACTCCAGTGTCAGGCAAGATAGGATCGAAGTCGAGTTTCTTGTTATCCAACGACTCCGCCGCCTCAGACATTTTATATAAAATTCAACAGTCGCATTAACATTTTTATGTTTTTTGTAACGAAAGCGAAATCTTTATCACGACACTAAACAAACTATAACGAAAATTGTAACATTACGAGCAATATCGTCAATAAAATCAACTCGTCAGTCGTCAGTCCAATAGGGATGTTACGATACAAGTAAATACGAGTAAGTATCGATACTTTTGTTTCGATACCGAGTACTTTTAGTATCGAATCCCTACTTTCGATTTTTACTAGGTATTGGAAGAAAAATACTAGTATCGAATCGAAACGCGCACGCTTAAATACCTTAACCCCACTTCCCAGGAAAAGATCATCTTTTTTTCCAAATTATTTTTCTTTCCATTTTCACACTTATACAGCAAACAAACGCAAACCGCGAAGTACCAGGGTAAAAAAAAAATATGTCCATCTATGGTCCCTTTGGATCATTTTTGAATATATCTTAGCGAATGAGCGAAGTTCACAAAGAGAAATGGCGGGTGCTTATGTACTTTTGTGGGTTTTTGTATTTCAGTTATACAAATTAATGTTCAGTTTAGGTATTATTACAAAAAATTCGCAGTAATCGATTATCAAAATCTCGATTGAATAGCGGAATTGTCGATAGTATCGGTTTAGCTGTAACACTTAAAAATAAAGAAAAGAACGTTAATTTGTTTATTGTGCAGTGCCTGCTTGTTAAAAGTTTATTACGTTTTTTGTTATTCATGGAGCCGCCAAAATCTAAAGGTTGGACATATTTTATATCTCCCAAAAAAGTATCGATATGAGTAAGTATCTATACTTTTGAAGTACTCATATGATTAGTATCGCATTACGAATTGATTACTATTCATTTGAGTAGTTATCGATACTTTGGTGGTTTCGGACATCCCTACAGTCAAATAATAAAGGTTAACGAAGACTGTTTAGAAGGAGTTATAAGTTATTAGTTTTTGTTGGGAGTTCTGGGCTTTCTTAGTAATTAATGTTATCGATGTTCCTTACTTCTTAATAAATAAATTAATTAATTCTTCGATGATCTACCAAATGTAAAAGTAATTTGAATAAATGAGTTATTTTTAAGAAATTTATAAAACTATAACTAGACTGGATTGATAATATCAAACTTTGTAAATGTTTGATATACGTCATTTTCAAATGTTCTGATGACGTATTACAGACGCGTTCTGATTTTACTTATTTACAGGTTTAAACCTTAGAGGATGGAAAAAAATAAAGGGCTTAAAAGGTTTAAACACATACGAATTTAGAATAGCACCATAGATGATACACTATACTTGGATAGCACTAATAGTTTTAGAACCAATATTTTATATTTTGATTCAGAATCCCAATATCCAAAATCAGTGAAAACGTGCTACTGCCTATTCCGGTCGCGACGCGATGCACAAAAACCAATGTTCGATTACAGCATGCACCCGTAGTTGGATTCGCGTAGAAGGCTCAGGAGCCCATGAACCCCGGTCTCGACGAACATGATTGATATTACTAGTATGCGTCATTACAGAGTCACCACAGTAACGCGGAATCGGCTCGAGCCGATCAGAAAAGCTTTATCTTCACGCAATAAGAACGTAAAAGATGTTTAGCGTTTCGCTTCTACTCGGACTGCCGACATAATTATTTATTTATAGAGCATTAGCTACAGAGCTATCAGACAAGATAATAAGAGCTTAAAATCGTAACAAATAAGCAAGAAACTCACAGCGTACTTGAACTAAAAGTTAAGTTGTGTAAAAACTGTAACTACAAAAATACGCTGCCAAAAATTTGACTGCCGACATAAAACGTTCGTCTTTTTTGTTTATTGCATGGATTTATAGCTTTTTGTAATCGGCTTAATGAGATACCGTGGTGCTGGTAAGTGTAATTACTCCCTTATAGGTATTTTAGTGGTGCTTATTGAATATTTCGTAAATCAAACAATGTGACTTAAGCAGTGTTAGCTTACATTATCACTTTGTGCTAATGTAAGATAACAGTGTTTAAGGCAGCGTTATGTAAGCAGTGTAATTTTACATTATCACTGCTTAAGATATATATTATATAAGGAATATATCGTACCTTGTGGTATGTTATAAGCCCAGTACAAAAAAAAAACACTTATTTTTGTGTGCTAGACAACCACACCAATTACCTGGCCTCAAACTGAGGAATGTACCTACGTTATTTTTTTATATATTTAATTGCATCGTGGATAGCACAAAGAAATGTGAGATACATTATACACACATGGACCCAATTGGGGTATTCAATCTTTAGGTGTACATTGACTTCTCTAATCTTAAAAAATAAAATACATACAACAAAAGCATCATTACCTTTACTTAAAAAAAGGACGGTTTGATAAGTCCGTGACATTGAGAAGACATTCAAAAGAACATTTTTATTAAACCTATGGTTTATTTTTCTATGTAATCCTTAACTTTATACCTTGACCAGCGATATTTCAAATTCTTCAACCCAAAAAAATAAAAAGCTTCAACTCATCAAAAACTATTTTATGCCAAACTCTGAAAAATAGGCCTTTGTATTAGCAATCTTTGTCCACGCCTTTGTATATTTGGTATGAGGTAGAAGTTAGTTGTGACCAAATCTAGTAAACATGAGAGTGCGGCAATATTTCGTACCGATCATAGGTAATTCGATAACTTTTGATGTTGCGATTGCAGAGATGTGAAACGGAATACTCGAAATTCTATTTTACTCATCTTCAAAATGCTAACGCTGACACGCTTGTGTGGAGTACAATATTTGTCTTATTATACTATGGCATAGGTTAATTTTTTCTAAAGTTACACATAGTCAAAAGCTAATATAACAATTTGCTTATTCGAGATTTAGTGTTTGGTTAGTACGTGCTATTCAAGTGTACGTATCCATCTGGCAACATATTCGCTGTGAATAATGATATAAGGGAGTTACCACATTTATTAGCACAGAATCGGCTTGAACTGGCCAGAAAAAACTTTATGTGCATGTATCATATTATGAGCGAAAAGACGTTAAGGCGCGTTTATATTACACGAATTTCTTCGTATGCTCTCTTACCGCGCGGCGACCACGTGGATGCCGATGTTATAGTAAAATGCTCTCTATGTGTACAATTTACGTTTTAAATTCAATAAGCGAACAAATAATATCTTCATGCACCCTACGAGTCTGGTTTGTCTTTGGTCTACGCGGCGGCCGGTTATATTATTCCGAGGAACTTAAATGTTGTTGATGTAAATAGAATTCAGATTCGCCATTACGTGTACGTGAAAGCATGGTAGCCGGGCGGTTACTGAAACTTTCGCGTCGTGTAACTGCGCGCGTTTCAGTTTAATGCGATTCTGTGACGACAAATGTGGTGACTCCCTTAGCCGACACATTATCCAACATTTCGGGCGTAAAATGACCATTTTCGGTTTACTTGCCGGTTAGGTACGCATTTCAAACATATTGGCTGACATGGCCACTGTTTTCGCTAATGTACACGCGCCTGCACATCAAGCTACACATTGACGTATCTTGTTCCGTTGCAATGGAGGCGATTTTCGAACAAAAATGTGTTGTCTGATGTGCCGTTGTCCGTACGTACGTACGTGGCGTGGCGCTTTAAGTTGGGCGTCATAAAGAACATTTTGCTATACACTTCCATTTTTAACTTAATCCAGTTCATGTTTCCCCAGTGTATACTAGGTTGAACGATAGTCTAGCTTGCTATCTCTAACAAAGGACACGAATGCATTGGAAAGCGTCTGATCAGCATTATGCTTGGAAGCAATTGAATAGATATTTTACACGATTTTTTTCTCAATGTCTACGTGTATATACTGTAAATAAGTAATGAATGTTTGTAAAACGAGGTGCATAAAATGCTGTCGGGACAATTTTCAAATATATGAATTATGACGTTATTGCATCCGTTTATAAAATTGCCGATGTTGGGTGGGTATTGCAGAGAGTCTTAAAGGAAAAAAATCAATCAATCAATCAATCAATTTATTTATTTGTCTGAATAAGGTACATATAGTTCTTATTTTAAATACAAATATCCAGCTTATTCTACCATAGTTGGCATACAAATATAAAATGTCACTTTAGTATATTTAAAAATAAAAATAAAAAATTAATTTCCACTATTATGTCATATTTTAAATTAAAATAATATAAGCAAAACTAAATAAAATTCAAAATAACATAAAAACAAATTCAATAATAATATCTCAGTAATTAGGCGTCAAAGAATTCAGTCATGGAGTAAAAAATGCTATTTATCAAGAATTTCAACAATTTCATTTTATATTCATTAAAATTATTAATAAATCTTAGCCCCCTTGGCAAATTATTATAACGAGTTCTTAGGTTTTCGCGATTGTTACACATAGGAAATGAAACTATTTTTCCGGATTTAAATCGCGTATATTTGTTTTTGCAAACAAACCGACGTTTCGGGCCCTTTACAGGTCCCATGGTCACGGTTGACAGTCAACAGTCAACGGTTTGTTTGAAAAAACAAATATACGCGATTTAAATCCGGAAAAATAGTTTCATTTCCTAAATTATTATAAATTTTTGGCACCATGATATATGCACTTTTGCCAAAAAGTGCAGTCTTATGTGACTCTATACATAATTTCTCACAATTACGTGCTCGTGCAACTTTCCGAAACATGTCAGGATTTTTTCTAATAAAAATTGAACACTCATATATATAAAGTCCCGGTAACGTTAACAAACGAAGTTCCTTAAAAAATGGCTTGCAACTGTCCGTTCGTTTTAAATTGCAGATAGCTCTCACACACTTTTTTTGAGCACGAAAAACGCGATCAATACCCGAACAATTCCCCCAAAACATTACACCGTATCTCAAAGTAGAGGCTACATATGCGTGATATGCCTGTAAAACGACATCTCTGTCAACCACTTTATTCAACTTAAATAGAGAGTACGATTGCTTACTAAGTG